TATTCGAAAATGTTTGACATAAGGTTATAATTAATTTACATAGAGAACATTCCAATATTCGTAAAGAATGTTCTCTATAGAGAATGAGCTACAACAATGCTCAGAATAACGTTATAACTTGCGACCGCGATCACGTACTAGTACCGTTCACTCACTTCAAACATCAGCGTCTAATGATCAACAACATCTTAATCATGACAATGACGGCCATGAATTGCACTTACACTCATTCAATCTCCAGCAATTTCTGGTAATGAGTATCCTAATCGCAATACTAGAGGTATATCCAACAAACATTACCTTAGATATTACCCTATCTCTAGTACAGCTAACCGTAATCATGGCAATACTACTATTATCGGGATGTAACGCCTTCATAGCATACGACTGCACAATGAGCGCAGTCAACATAACTGAAATAGATCGCACCTCGATTATTCCATGCGACATTCACTTCGAGACTGCAAGTCAGACGAAGTCAATCATACAACTTATGCAGATCGCAGAAAAGATCGATGTTAAAGTCACTCTACGTAAAGTCTGTATAAACGCCATATTCATTATTGCGGAATGCACAGTCATACAAGCGAAGTCGCAGGAGGCATTGCTGATACGAATTGCGATGACCATCATGCAATGACTTGCGGCTCAGCGGATCATTAAGACTGACAAACAATATTATAATAGCAAATATCAAAAAATACCGTCAGTATGCGATCACTTACGCTAGCAGGCTGCATAGGACCCGACGGAATAGTAGCCCAAGGAGCCATAGTGATTAGTCTTAAACAAATATTTGCCCCTGCTAACACACAAAAAGATCAAATACATTTGCCAGGAGGTCCTGTGTGTAAGTGCTCAACAGAAACGTGCATTGACTTCGAAGCAGGAGAAGCCATAAGTAAATAAATCAACTATCTATGCCGAGGTTTATAGAAAGTCGGTCTTTCGAATTCCAATGTTTTTGAGTAGTCGCTTCACTAGTTACGTTTATTTTCTTAGGTAAGAATGCATATCATTATAAATACCCCAGCCGTACACACAAACAGGCTAATCATAATGCCAAATACATAACGAACACTGAGACTCAAATAATGTTAATGACCTCTCGTTGAGCGGTCGGCATGTCTGCTGAAAAAGTGAGTCAATCTGAAACTTAATTCTTTTTTCTTGGTGTCGAAGATAGAGAAGAGCTTTCTGGCAGGTAGTGACTGGCGATAATTTAACTGATAGTCGCGACTCTAAACAACCGGGTGGTCAAAAAGAAGAAAAGAAGATACAAATTACAAAGATTCGCGACTCTGAAGCAGGTGGATTGCCGAGTGTGAAAAATGAGGACTTTTTCCATGGATTCATGCCTAGAGAGCAGGTATGCTTAGTCCAAGATATATCTTCTTCGCAGTAGTCACATTCCCTCCATGTGTGCTATGACAGTTTTGTGAAGAAGCGAAAAACGACTTTTTCAAAAACTGATGGTTCAGATGATATTCCGGTGTAGCTGGTTGAAAATCTAAGTGGACTAATTGCTTTTATCAGTCATTTATAAAAAGGCTGAAATGTGTTCATCTGACAACAGAATCCACATTATTTACAAAAATTGTCACACTGAGACCATTGAACGAAACACTTCTTAATTGATTGATTCACAAATGATCGGTTCCTTCACATGTAGTATGGGTGCCAACAATTCAATTCGTTTCGTTATTTTACAACCGTCCTCTAAAGATCTGGCCGCTTTAAGTTGTGCATTTTGCAGTATCTTCTCTCGATGACGTGTTAAGTGTTGGTCGAGACATATTTCGTCTGGAACCTCAGGAAAGTCGTGCTCTAGTTATTCCCAGATCTCTACCACATCCAGCCGCCGGTCGTTGGGATTTCTTCAGGAAGACAGCTATGTGCGCTGCGATAGAGAATTCTATTTAATCGACCAACTGTTCGAAGGCGGTGTACTGGAAATTTTCGAAGCGAAGGAAATTTCACACAGCACGTTCTTCTACCACTTCCAAGCGCTTAGTTATAATCAAGAGAGATAGATTTTGACGGTCCTAGTTTTCGAACTGGTAATAGTACGTGGATTGTCGAACACCTATCAACATCCTTAGATGACGTTGTGCACACCTGTTTGTAGCTGCTATATGAACGACTTAGAAAATATTACACTTTTTTTCACAGTAGTCCATGCACCAATATAATTGTGCTTGAGATCTAGAGAAGAGCATTCAAATGTGGTATATACCTAGGCGCAAATGGAATTTTAGTTCAGAATCGGTTGATTTACAGCACGGGTTGTGACCATACTAGACACAGAACGCTCTGCTGATGGAGAAATGATAATCGTGAACAGATGGCGACCATGATCCGGGACAACTGTGCCATCTTTTGTGGGAATAACGCGACAATAGAGTAGCGCAGTGCTTATAGATGCCCTGCAATACACACGTAGTCGTTTCAATTCAGCCACAGTGCTCGCCAAGCCTTTCGTTTCTCAGAGGTCGAAAAATTGTTAGTAAACCTGTTTGTTAGGATAAAAATACACTCAATAAAAAAATCGATAGGCCACTAAAAGCCACGGTACAAGATAGATATACATCTAGTCAGCTCTAACGATGCAGATATACATCTAGTCAGCTCTAACGATGCTTGATGTAGTTGAATTCATGGCGATTCTTTCATGGATCGATCGACCCCTACCCTTATATCCTTTCTGTGACAATGTTCTCCTTACATAATCATTCTGTTATATTTGGGAAAGAGTGTTGACCTTTCTTTCTCTTAGTAAGTTCAAACGCCATGAATTAGGCTCGCTGTAACGAAAATCCCAGTCTACGAACATTAAGGTCTTTCCAATAATTCATTTTCAAAAACTGCTTTATTAATACACTCGAGAATTATGTAAAACTATCGCAGACAGATCGGCTTCTGCTAAAAGTCGGTGATTTTCTCGTACGACAAGCAGTTAGAGCGGAAAACAAGTCAGCGGTCGCAGTGAGCAATTTTAAGAAATTCATGCATTATAAGCTTATGCAATCGACTTCTCGTCCAACAGTAATTCCTTTCAGGAACAATTCATCATTTCTGTCAGGGTGAAACCCCCATCAGTGGATATCGGTGTAATGTTTATCCTACATATTTGGAAACCACTACCAATTTGCAAAGCCAAGCTTCGTGATATTACGTGTAATGCTTGCTTTTTCCAGAGAGGTGGTGGTGTTGTATTAACGAATAAAACTGATGAAGAAATTGAGGTAAGTTATCTTTTATAAACTGAGCATGAAAAGATATAAACTTGATTACCGAGGCCATGCATTTCGTAAATTTTGGTTTCTTTTCCTAAAACACTTACTTTTCTTCGTCTACGACGGTTCAATTGGGTTTTAGGCCGAGAAGAAGCGAGCGGAGCAAGAAATGCGTCACATATTCATCAAATACAGTAGGAGAGCGAAGTTATACTATGTACGATTGTACGGCTTTAAATTAGCATCTGGTTGGTTTCTTTGTATTTCTACTTGCCCTGCATCTTCTATGATTACTTACTCGGATACTTGAATGCCTTCAATAACTCCCTCTTCAGTGGTTATCTGGATTCCAGCGTAATTTTCATTTTTTTTCGGTGTTTTTTTAGTTTAAACATTGTGGTTCACTGGAGTCTGGAGGGCAGTACCCTGCCATTAAAAAGAAAAAGGCAGTAAATAAAAGGGTTAAGATTGTGATTATAACTAAGCCTCAGCTTAACTGGGTTCAATGCCGATTTGGGCTTCCCAGATCAATTCCGTTGACGGGTGATTGCTGATGGCAAAAGATCGGTAGAACCAGCTGAGAGACGGGCAAAACGATGGACCCGGATGGTGTGGTGGTGAAGTGCGCTACTCCCCGGTGAGGACAATAGCGCGTTCGTTCCTCACCGCATACACCTGCGGTCCGGAGTTTTGCAAATATCTCAGAATTATATATAAAAGTTCCTGATGTTGATCAATTTCTTGAGAGATGCGCCATGTATTCGGCGTCACCAAGCTTCGTTTAGAGGTAACTGATTACATATCTGGCCCATACAATAACTTGTGTTGCCTTAACGACGTAATCAGTCAGTGCTGCTTTTCTCCCAGATAGGTCTCGTACCAATTTACTGAACCTAGAGGGATAGAGGGGTTGGAAAGTGTGGGACACGGGGCCAACCCCATGGTATTACAGCACGCCTCCAACCACCGCGTTACACGCGGCCCATCGTCGAGATTTTAGGGTGTGGGGTTGGTAAAGAGTTGTATTTATAACCGAGTAGGGATACTTTGTTCGAGCGCTGATCTACTCCAATGGATTCGACTCGATGTGACAACGAAGACGCACATCGCAAGGACGATACGCTGTGGACAATTGACCCGAATCAATCCGGCCGTGAAGAAAGCGATGGAGACGGAACATTAGCCGAACAAAACTCTTTACCAACCTCGTGTTGTTTTAGTAATACTTACTTATTTGGATACATTGATGGTCCGCCTACGCGAATTGTGCGGATTCCAACACACTTACTATTCCTTTCTTTCTCTTACCTTTACGGTGGTGGTTTTGTTCGAGCATGGTAACGTGTGCGAGTCTCATACTGTGACTTGTGGAATAACTACAGTTGCAGTTACAGCTGATTAACATTTTTTACGAATACGTCCGTCCAACGTGTAGATGGCTGTCCTACGGGATTCATCTGTTCTCATTTTGTGATCAGCCCGTCTGTGTTTTTCTACCGATGTATAATCTCCTGGATCTCGAAGATGTGACAGATTTCGAAGGTCAGAGCTTCGCATTCCTGCTTGATACTAGGAGTGCCGGCTATATTTCAGAAGACATCGCTCAAGCGCTTTGTGAGCAGTGCGAAGCATTCTTGAGGTGGTCCAAGTATCAACTCACGTCTCTGTAGCATAACAGAGCGCTGGGAGGACCGCGGAATCAAAGAGATGAGCGCGGATTTTCGGATCCTTCAGTTGGTCGGTGGCTTCTTCGAGAGGCCCGAATGCACCCCAAGCTGCTCTCCTTCTTCTATCTAGTTCCTCCTTCATATTGTTTTCCATGTTCATTAACCGCTCAAGGTATACGTACGAGGTGGTCTCTGCAACAGGGAGCCGTGAAGTTCAATTTCTTCGCCTTCGTAGCAAGGGTTTTGAATGAACTGGGTATTCTTCCGGTTTATGCGCAGTCCGATAATTTTCCCGCTTCGTTGTGCTCGTTGATCATCACCTCTGCTGTGCTGGCACTTCTTGAGAACATGACAATGTCGTCGGAAAAACGAAGGTTTGATAGGAATATTCCATCAATACGTATGTCTTTCTCATCCCAATCGAGTGACTTCATTATCCACTGTAGTGCCGCACTGAACAGCTTTGGCGATGTTGTGTCGCCCTGTCGAACTCCTTTTCCTATGGGTGTTGTAAAAGTTCGATGGAAAAGCTGTATTTTCGTAGTGCAGTTTCGATAAGAGTCAGATAGAGTTCTTATGTAGGGCGGGTCCACTCCGTGGTCAACAAGCGCTGATATGATTGCGTTCGTTTCGACACTGTCAAACGCTTTTCATAGTGGTCAAAGGTTAGGCATAAGTCCCGACGGCAATTTTTCAGACTGCTTTTTTTCTCTGCTGCTTCCAGTAGTTCCTTCTGTTTGTACCGATGAAGATCCTCCTGCAAAGCTCTTCTGCAGCTGGCATTTTTATTAGCCGTGTTAAACGTGTTTTAGTAGGATCAAGCTTCAGTTTCATCTACTTTTCGAGCAACTTCTTAGTAGTGATGGAGATGCGATCCGTTCTTCATGCTTGAGTAATTGAGGCGAATTCGACACAGCTTTTCAGACCTTCGACAAGCGGCCAGTAGTCTTCGGTCGAGACTTCTTTAATCTGCCAGTTACGTTTGGATATGACTTCGTTCAGAATGTTCTTGTTGTACACAGCTAGACTTTTTCCTCGTGGTCCATGAAGAGTTTTTTTCCAGCTTGCGGCTGAATCGAATCTTCGCGCGAAGAAGGATGTGATGGAACCAGTACAGAATGACGGGACTACCGATATGTCAAGTAGGCACCATCTTCTGTTTGCCAGAATATGGTCGACCTCCACATGAGTCATGCCGTTAGGAGACTCCCATGTCCTGCGGCGGCTTTCATTCTTCTGGAAAAAGGAGTTTTCATGGAAGAGACGTGCTGCTGACAGGATTCCTGCGAGACGGTTCCCATTCTCATCTCGTTCTCCTAATTTTCCGATCCTGTGTTCGCTCTCGTTGGTCTTTCCTATTCTGGAGTTGAAGTCTCCAACGACAACGACAACGATATGCTTTATCATTGCGGATGACTTCCTCCAACTGATAGTAGAATGCATTTGATTCGTACTCATTAGCAGCGTCGGTCGGTGAGTAGCAGTTGATGATAGTGATCTTCTTATGATGCGACAGTTGAAGACGGAGAACGGCTATGCGAGGGGAAAGGATCACGTATGAGTCGACGAGATGGACAATGGTCGGGTGGACGACAAAGCCTACGCCACCGACATTTCGTGAGGGGAACTTTCCTCCACGGATCACAAGGGTCCCGTTGTTTAGTTGGCGTATGTCGGTCTCCTTGATTTTTGTTTCTTGTAATGCGATCTGCGGCTGCAAGAAGGACGTGAAAATCGGCGTTTGTGGAGAGTGTTCTGGCATTATACGTGCACAATAAGAAACAATCTCCACGGCGTGCGGTGCGTGCATTCGTCAGATCCGGTTCCAATGAGGTCCTGCGTAACTCGAGATCTTCTGGGTTCGTACAGGTCGTCTCACCGCTTGACGTAATAAGCGGGAGCACCCAGTGTGCTGGGTACTGAGGCTGGTCTATTGCTGGTCGTGCAACTTGGTCCTCCCTGGAGTCCTAATGTAATCTTGCAAGGGCGTATCCAGGTCTTCACCACGATATGGATCAGAGGGTGGTGTGTTTTCGGCGACGAATCCTTCGCCCGGTTTTCCTACTAGTTGATTCGGAAACGATGTTAAAACCAAGATCAAAAACGGAAGTAGGAATGGAAAAATAACGGGCCGCTCAAGAACGATGTAGGAGCCGAAATTCGCTTAATAATCAAGATAATATTGATTATTTACGTGGAGAATAAAAGGATTTCGGATTTCAGAATCACAATACACTCTTTCCTGTATTGCTGAGCTGAAATTAAGCCATCATAAAAATTTCATTGGGTTGTATCAGCTCCTTCGCCTGATAATCCGAGTCTCAAGCTGGCCATTGCGGGATCGAGTCGAATCCATTGGTGGGACCACCGCTCGAATGAGGTTTCCGTAGCCAGTGGTTTCCTTTTGTACAGGGCGGACCTTGGTCTGTTGCCGGTATCCAAAATGATCTATTTTCTTTTGCCGGGCAATGCATCCTGTAGCAATCGGTATTTCATTAAATGGCACATAGTGTGACAATATCCTAAATGCGCATGTGGCGTCGGCAAATCGGTACCAGACTTGTCTGGAAGGATAGCAGCACTTGCTCGATACATCGATAGGCCACCGAGAGTCCTTGTAAAGGCCGGATATGTATTCAATCACCTCCAAACGATGGTTAATGAAGTCGAATGCATGGCGCATCCCTCAGGGATTGATCGACGCGACGCCAAGAGCTTTACTTTTTATACTTTTATCCTAAAAACCGACGTTCATTAAACCTTGGTATAAATAATCAATACTTCCCTGTATTAAGACTATGCCCTATTATACAGACTATAGAAATCGCAATGCTAACTTTTTATTTTCTGCCTACTACAATTTTTAACAGCAGGGTATGATGCGGAATATCACCACAATGATGCTAAGATATTTGCAAAGGTCCGGACCGCAGATGTCTGTTGTGGCGAACGAACGGGCTATTACCTTTTCCGGGGGCTAACGCGCTCACCACCACACCATGAGGGTTCCTCCCTCCACCTGTCTCTCATCCATCACAGACTGTAGACCTAACTCTTATATAGACTTATATAGACGCTTAAGACACTAGTGTCATTATTGAATTTCTAACAATATTATTTAACCAATAACTTCAGAATGAGTGTGTATATCATCTAGAATTCCGTGTGTCCTGTTTTGAAATTTTCAAGTTTTTCTTTGGCGAACTTTTGAAATACAGGAAGATATTCTGATTACTAATTAAGGCTTGATCGAGTATCACAAGCGCCACAAAATACCGATAGATGAAGAGAAGACCATACTAAAGAGGGCTATAAAAAAAGCTGATTGGCAGCTGAATCATGAACAAATCATCAAGTAAATAAATGCTAGATACGAAATTTTTTGCACATTCCGTAATCTAAAGAAATGTTTCCCCGTTTTTGTGTGCTTCAGGACGAAAAGGCTTGGATCGGGAGCGTTCGGTGACGTCTATAAAGGAATTCTTAGAAGCGGACTAATCGATAAAAGGGAAGTAGCCATTAAAACAATCAATGGATCGATCTCAGCGGAGGAAAACGAGAAGCTGTTCCAGGTCTCGTCGATATTATCCTTTTCAGTGACATTATACAGTCGGCTTAACCTCTCAGGAACTACAGATTTTAAATAGATTGACGGATAAACATTAAGTTCGTCTACGGCTCTACACATCCGCCACATTGAAGAGATACGCTGCCAGTAGATATTTTCCTACATTAGCTTTGATAATGACTAATGCTTGAGATCTTATTTCGAATATGACCAAAAACATTAAAAAATACCTCGGTATGTTCTTTTAAGTTGAGTTTTCATTACTTGGAAAAGAATTATATTCTTAGGAAGCTATGCTAATGAAGACGTTGGTTCATCCGAATGTTGTCCTCCTCATTGGTGTCGCCTCAAATGAGGAACCAGTCATGATTGTTATGGAACTAGCTCCAGGTTTTTCTGCTAAAATTTCTAAAGTTACTTGATTAAGATATACCAAGCTCCTATGGAAGAGATTATAGTGATACTAAGAAGCGTTTTCTAGGTGGTGCCGTACTTGATGCTGTACAAGCAAAGCCAGGACCGTCTGTATATATTCGAATAAAATACATTTTAGGAGCAGCAAACGGTTTGACATATCTATCCGGAAAGGGGGTCTGTTGTAAATATTTCCTTTTCGAGCTGTTTGTTTTTAACAGATAAAAATAAATACTTAATTACTTGATACTTGAATGACCCGTCCTCAATGACTGTGCTGACCCCAACACAATCTCTATTTTTCGGAGAATTTCTGTTTAAACCATTATGGTTTCCTGGAGTCTCGAGGTCAGCCTGGTCAAAGTCTGCCCCAGGTCTTCACCACCACAGGCAGTCGTTGCTCTTGTGGATCAAAGAAAGATTTGCAGCATGTGACTTTGATAGCAGTACGATGGTGGATCCCGGTATTGGTTTACTCTTAACTAGGCTTCCTAATGGAAACGCCGGTCTCCTTCTCAGTTTAGCAGACCCTGCCAGGGTATGTATCCACTGCTGTACATCACAGTCCGACACCCAGGAACACCTCCCAGCCACGATGAGGCTGTAGACCGTTGGTAAGATAAAAATAAATAACAAAGGAAATCTAAGGATCCAAAAACAAAGCACCGTTATCAAGCAATTATCTTGTAAATAACTAGGAAAGAAGTTTCCTTTAATCACATTAAAACCAATAATGAGAGAAATTTAAGGATCGAAGAATGCAGCATCATATAGAATTACCTATCAACTGTATCATCTGACGTTCCGTTGATCGTCAATTGACTCGAGAGGGCACCAGTAAACCTTCCATTTTCCTCTGTCGCGTGCAAGAATAGTCCAGTGGGTGCTGCTCGCTCTAGGAACTCGTTGAGCATCATATTTTTCTCCTAGGCTTTTCGTGAAAAGCTCTAAACATCGGATCGGTAGTCTTCTTGCAGGACGTTTGACTCCTGAAGAATCTAGTCACTAACGGCCCCGATTCTTGATCGTTGATGCAGATCGGAGCTTCGCATCCCTTCCCAGATTTGTATAACCCGTCTACTCCTAGAATCGTCCTTTCGACTGGGCGTTTAATAACCCTGAGTGACCTTTCACTCTGCTTACGCAGCGATCAAGTTTTTGACGCATACGTTACAGCCGGAAGTATGGTAAAGTCGAAAAGGTGGGCACGGAGTCGGGTGTTCTTTGTTCACTTCACTACATCCTCGTCGCTGTTGAAAGCTCCCCAAGCAGCTTGTTTCCTTTTGTTCAACTCTGGAACTAAGTCGTTCATCATGTTGACTTCCCGACCTAGACTGATGTAACAGGAGAATTCGGAGATATTCATTCCGTGAGCGTAAATGCGGCAAGCGTAACCAATCCGCTCCTCGTGAACATCGTTTTTGTGGGACTTAGTCGAAGACCAATTTCTCCATAGGCTTCATAAAAATAGGAAAGCATTCGTTCCGCTTGGCTAATGTTCAGTGTTATAAGAACGATGTTCGAAGACGGTGTAATTGCCGACCATCGATTTTCAACTCCCACGTTGCTCCATTCCAATGTTCGCATGACGTTCTCGAAGGTCGCGACAAGTAATTTTGATGAGATACTATCGCTTTGCCTATCCACTGTTTTGACGTCGATCGTTTTAAAATGATGATATCCTAGTTGTGAATCTTCTGTAAAGCTCACGAAGGATCTTTATATATTGAGTGGGGAGTTCCTGAATATCATGAGCTTCCATGTCTGTTTCTATCTCAATTGGGTCAAAGGCCTTCTGTAAATTGATGAAAGTGAGACAGAGCGGTCTTTTGTACTCTCGCGATACTTCATTGAATTTTGTTATTATGTGGATGTCGTTCATCGTACTAAATCCTTTCCGAAACCTTGCTTGCTCACCTGTCCTTCATCCAATGTTCTGTCAATTCTGTTTAGGACGAACCGAGTGAAAAGTTTGTAGACGACAGACAGCAAGCAGATTGGGCGATAGATGCCGATATTGTAGAAGTCACCCTTCTTGAACATTACCACGGTCTTGCTGGCCTTCCACTGAATAGGCACCTTGCATTCAGAGAGGTAACGTGTGAAGACCCGAGCCAGTGTTTTTACGAGAACTGCCGGAAGATTCTTCAGGTGTTCAGATCTTTCCAAACCGGACCTGGTGTTGTTCGATTTTTCACCGACGAAGTGGTATTTCAGATTTCGGAAGGGAGAATCGGTGTGCAACATATCCATTGTCCATTATTTCGCATACCGGAAGGTGGACGTGGCTATCGAGAAGATCTGAGCAGTATTCGTGAATGATTTTCTATATTGCCTTTCTGGACGCTGTCATTGTTCCGTCTGGGCGTCGGAATGCAATCATCTTGGCATTGTAATTGGCTAAGCTTCGGTGTGCTTTGCGAATGCTTTTCCCAGCCTCTGCAGCTTCGACCATTACTGCTGCTCTTCTTTCTTTGAGATCTTCTTTTATCGCCTGTCTGCATTGTTTTGCAAGTTCGGACGTTAGTTTGCGGTTGCATGCAGCTCGTACGATTCCATGCTGGCGTATAGACTCGAGTGTTTCTGGAGACAGACGTCCCTTGGTGACTTTCGTGCTCACAGCTTTCATAGCGCTAACATGAAGATGTTGAATGAGCAGATAGTAGTGTTCCTCGTCGATGTTATCGACAACGGCATCTTTTCAACAACTGACTAATAAGTTAAATAATCCTCAATTTATAGTGGTTTTAGGACTTCGATTGTTGACATTAGCGGCTTTTTCTCCTTTCTGCGAGAAATAAAATCTTGCACGAAGGAGGAGATGGCCTGATCCCGTGTAGAATTTAGGGACAACAGCTGCATCGGTTGGGCAAAATCTTCAATTTACTACGACGCAGTTATAATACTCTCCAGTGGGAGACTCCTACGTGCAGCGTTGAGGATATGGCTTCTGGAGTTGCGAGTTACCGTGAATTGTCTTGGTCGCCATGAGAAACTCATGCAGGCGCTCACTTGCCTGTTTCAGTCTGATATGCGGCTCCCAATGTTACATTCTTCAGACGTTCTTCTTGGTCCAATTTTAGCGTTAAAATCTGCAGTGATGGCCTTGAAGCATGTATGGTCTTCTCTGTAGAACTTTTCCAAGTCTGTATAGAACGCCTCAACTTCTTCTTCGTCATAGTTTGATGTCTGCGCGTAAACGGCGAACATTGTCAAAGGTGGTATTGATCCACATCTTTTTAATCGTGAACGCCCGATTCGGGTTTAGTTGTTCGAATAAATCGATGCTCATGAACAAACACGTGTTTACGAAAACGGCGACGCCGCCAATTCTTTTACTGTCACATGTACCGAGGAGTAATTCTTCCCTGGTGTAACAGACGGCGTTGAATGGGAGCTGTCGTCTCTTCTCGGCCAGCCCGATGACGTCGGACATTATTCTTCTTGCTTCCTTGAGCAAGTCTTCTACTGCGGGCTCGGATCCAGGTGTGTGTGCATTCTACGTACAGTTCATCACAGTCCTTTGCGATCTGTCAGCTCAGAGGGGCCCTGAGATTTCGCCAGACTCTTAGTGCTCGTTCACCCCACGCTGCCGAATCGGGGGATCTTTCGAGGTCAAGGCAAAGATGCCCGTTTATTTTTACTGGGTTACATGTTTGATACCTACGTATAGCTTCCTGTGATATGAACGTGGGGGCTGGGTATACTCACGGGTAGTTTGCAAGCCTCTCCCGGAGTGGACATAGATCTTATTTGTTGGAGGTGACTCCTAACCACCTCTCATATATTTCCGTCACTTGATTGCAGAGTTTTGGCGGAATTGAGCAGTAGAATATAATCCGCATAAATGAGAACGCACCTACACAGGCATGCACGAGTACGCCTCGTAAATACAGAAAGTACGTGTCAAGTCAACGCAGCAGAAACGCGGAATCCTTTCTCTAAAGCCACCTGCGTGTTTAAGAAGCAAAGGTTGTTTTTTGGTCCGCGATTAGCCCGCTATCCGCCACCTGGAGGCATGCCACGTAGCCTCGCCACTAACCGGCTCGAGATCCTTTATATGAGGGAGGTCCGTGGACTATTGCAGCAGTAATGTTAACAATATGGATGTTTTGTGAAATCTATTATCGTACAATTTTCGTCTGCATTCCTGCTGTCTCCAGTTTCCGTCATGAACACGCTTCTTTCTGAATTTGAATTTGTTTAATTTCTTCATTTCTCCTAGCCTATCTTTGTTTTGTATAACACGTAAACCTCCAGAGATTTTTCTGTCAGAACAAAATTTTGATGTTTTTCTAGATTATTCACAGAGATATCGCAGCCCGAAACACATTGATCGGTAAAAACAATGTAGCAAAAATTTCCGACTTTGGTCTCAGTTGCTTGGGTGCTCAGAAAAAGGAAAAAACTTTGAAAAAAGTTGGTATTTCTTTCCTGTTTATTAACTTTACAAATTTGAATCACCATTAAGCAGACCTGTCGCTTTCTATTCAGAGTTTTAGGTGCCAGTTCGTTATCTTGCGCCAGAGACCCTCCAAACACGAAGTTATTCAACAAAAACTGACGTGTGGACATTTGGTATTTTCATGTGGGAGGTAAGCTACGTGGCAGTGTTTCACACTGCATTTCCCAGCAACTTTGATACTTGGATACTCGGAAGGCCCGTCTTCACTAAGTACGGGTCCCAGCATAATTCCCACTTGCTCCTCTCTCGCATAATCGCCATCCATGTTGGTAATCTTCTTCGAACACGGTGACATCCGCAAGGCCCATTCCGCTGTCCTGAAATCGCTGCCATCTACGAGAACAGGTGGTTGACGTTAGCCACGAACACAGCCTATCGTTCACCCCATAATCACATCACAATCATATCATCACACTGATCTGGGGAGCCCAATCCCGTTGATGGGCGATTGCTGATGGCAAAAGATCGATAGAACTAGCTGAGAGACAGGCGAAACGTAGGACTCGTATGGTGTGGTGGTGTGGTGGTGAACGTGTTACTCCCCGGAAAGGACAATAGCGCGTTCGTTCCCCACCGCAGACACCTGCGGTCCGGAGTTTTGCAAATATCTCAGCATTATAGAAATAATAATAGACGTCTGAATCTTTTTTGTCTGAGGAACTGAGGCGAGTTTGACAAAAGTTTTAAGTCATTTGACAAGGAGCTTGTAGTCATCGGTCGAGCCTTCCTTTTTCTGCCAGAAGAGGATTTTGTTAAGAATATCTCCGTCATATATCTGTTTGGTTCTTCTTAGACGATGGCAGTTTTTTTCCAGCTTATTTCTGAATCGAATCTTCGCACGGAGAAGAGCGTAATCAGATAAATCCAGCTCAAAATCCCAGTAAAATTGAAGGGTCAAAGAGGCACCGTTTTTTGTTCGTGAGAGTGTGATCTGTCGGCGCATGGATCGTGGCGTAAAGAGGCGACCATGTCCATCGGTGGATTTCTGTCTTGTCGAAAAATGAGTTCCAACGGAGAAAAATTTTTGCAGTGGCTTTATAAGACAGTTTCCATCCTCATTTCGATTTCCAATCCCGAATTTTCCTATCCTGTATTCATTTTCGTTGACCGTTCCCGGCGTTGAAGTCTCCAACAATGAATTTGTAGAACTGTTCGTTGTGGATTACTTCCTCCTACGGGTTGTAAAACGCGTTCAGTTCGCTATCATCCGCTGTACAAGTTGGTGAGTAGCAGTTGATGATACTGACTTTCTTTCGGTGTGCAAGTTAGATGATGAAGAATGGCCAAACGCGGTGATAGGATGAGGTGACTAGATGGGAAATAGGTGGAATACGATAAATCGATGATGCTTTCGACAATGTGTGACGGAAATTCCACTCCACGAATGATAGCGGTTCCATCATATAATTGGTGTATGTCAGTCCTCCCGCTTCTCGTCCCTTGTACAGCGATCATAAAAAATTTGACTCGACCAGGGGTCTCAAGAATAACGTAAAGGTTGGCGTGTTAACGCACTGTCCTGGTGTTATAGGTGCAGAACAAAATCAGCCTCCATAACGTTTTATGGACGTGCTCATTTTGTCCGTTTCCATTACAGTAGCTATGCAACCTTTGCAGATTTGGCCCCCTCTCACCGATTGTCCCACCGCTTGACGTCGTAGGGGGAAGCATTCAGTGTGCTTGGTACTGAGGCTAGAGTTTTGTTGGTTGGACCATTATGGTTCCTTTGTCCCGAGCTCAGCTAGCCAACTCTCCTTTAGGTCGTCACCACCACAGGCAGTCGCATTGTGGATAGGAGAGGATTTACCAGCAATTATTTTGACATCAGGACGGAAGTGGTTACTGGTATTTGTTTGCTTTTAGCTGGGTTTCCGGATAAAAATGTAGGACTCGTCAGCTTCAGAGACTTTGCTGGAGAGGATTAAACTCTTGCTATACATCGCAGTCTGAGGCCCAGAAACACTTCACAGCAAAGATTAGGCGGTATTACTTTGGGAAAAGGTCCCAGAAACAGTTGGAAAATTAAATATTTTACATAAATCCTATAGATGAGCACTTTCTTTATGGTTTATTGACTCATGAGTGACTGCAAGCTGTGCTCCTGAGTTTAACACGGTGGTATTAATCAGTTAGCTCATCTTATCGTGAAATGACCAAGGTGAGAGGAGATAGAGATTACTACGTGGGACGCAACAAAGGGTAAACCAATGTCAGCGATCACTTCCGTTCTGGAGGAACATTTCCCCAGAAAGGCTAACGGCTGCCTTTGTTGAAGATCTCAACGAGCAAATGAGCAGTACAGTGGGTATGCAAATATAGATGTTCCAGGGGTGAGAAAAGTACTAGGTGAAAACGGTGTATTCAAAAATTAATTAAGTGAATCTAGAGAAATTGCAGCGTGGATTCCACTGTTAATAATGCATATCCTCAATTCCTTAGTATTGTATTTTGCAGAACCACAACTGCAAGCCTTTTTTGATGTAGCACTCTACTTATCAGTATTATGTACTCATGATAACACGTAAAAGTATTCGGCTGCAATCCAGTACTCTAAAGATGTACCATACATTCGTTTTCATTAGGCATCATAGAGGTGGTTGAATACGTTTGGTCCTACAGTGACTTACGGAACCTATCGATTTATCAAATCAATATTTTTACTGTCCTAGCTACTCGTCTACCGATTTCCCAACTCCGGGGTAATGAAGAGCTTGATCGTGATGATAGGTCCAACCATCGACCGGGAACATCACGGTGCACCTCTACCACTGTACTGCATGCGTTAGTCATACATAATAAAAATGCAACTAAAAGGTTCTATTTGAATGTCGCAATTCGAACCAAGCATTTCAGGTGTTTCACGATGGTATGACACCGTATGATAAGTTTTCCAACACTGCTGCTGTAAGAAAATTTGTTCTCGCTGGCAACAGACTAAACAATGAATCCGATAAATATCCTGAATATCTGTGGAATCTTACACAGGTGTTGTCTTATACAAACACTGGCGTTTGTACTTCGCAAAAAGAAATAAAAAAGAAATTGAGACACAAGTCTGGGTTTATGTCCGGGAAATATTCCTTTTTTTTGTACTTTTTCTTTATACATACTTAGGATACTTGGAAGGCCCATTCTCACTGGTTCTGCGAGCTGCAGCACAATCTCAATTTTTCGGAGTTTTGCTGGTTTAGCCATTATGTCTCCCTGAAGTCCGGAGGTCAGTCTGGCCAAACTCTGTCCCAGGTCGTCACCACCACAGGCACCACAGGCAGTCTCAACCTTTGCGGATAGGAGGGAGATTTGCCACCATGGACTAGTTTAACACAACGGTAGTGATGGGTCTTGGCATACGTTCTCTTTGTACATTAAGCAAAGCATTTTTATTGACTTATGGGTTGATTTGAACATGGCCTAGACTTTAAACCGCTTGTTGGACAAAGAAGATGTGTTGTGAAATTTAAGGCATGCTGGAAACAAGATGGCGCTGATCGCCCGACTTTCGAAACTATTGCGAACATCATCGAATCTCAAATGGAGGACTATAACGAAACAGTGGAACCCTTCTGGAAATTCTGGTAGCCCCAATGACCGTATGAATAAAAAGACTGATTTGTTACAGCGAACAATTATTAACATACGATGTATGCACAGAAATAAAGGTTTTTCTTTTGAGTCCCATTATTCTCAAAACGAAAGAAAACGAATTATTCACTCATTCTAGCTGCAGCCTTAATCATCAGAAACTTTGAGATGAATGAACATGTCATTGGTTACCTTTTAAAAATAATGTGTTCGGTTGTTTGCGTTTAGGTTACCTAACATCGGGGTTTTCTAGCTATGTGATAAAACAGAAAATGGAGTGGGGTTGAAAAGGTGGACACGGCAGCTCTTTGTCATCAACAACACCTTCTTGATAATCTTGAAAGCGAAATGGAAAGAAAACCTCTTAGTAAATATTGTCTTCTTCAAATTTAACAAAAAAGGAACCTTTTCATCAGATGGGATCGAAGTTTACCAGCTTTATTTTCACTTGAATGGTCGTGAATGGCAGAACGCACCCATCAGCGAGGCTAGATAACGTAGATTATCGGTAAATTGATACGAGACCTGTATGGGAGGATAGCAGCACTAACTACATCGGTAAGGCAGCGCGCATCAGTGTATAGGACAGATGTGCATTCAGTCACTCTAACGTTGCTTAGTGAAATCGAATGCATGGCGCATGCCTCAGGTATTGATCAACGCCTGGTGCTTTATTCTTTATCCTTTTATGCCACTTCCCCACAAGGTTCTTCTTGTCACAGAAAGGAGAGCTGAGAGGCAACCGTAAAACTTATAACTCGGGGTTTGCTTCTTCGCTTAACTGGCTTTTGATAAGGCATTCTCACGTGACATTGTAACATGATCGGCTGATCTGGAGCACAACGGTATAAGAGAGCTCGGGATTTGAAGGTCACAAATCAACGAATGTTTGTGTAGCGTTCGCGCTGACAACGTTGAGTCCTACGAGCCGTATAACCACTAACGTAATTACGAACACGCAAAACTCTGCAGAAAAGTGATAAAAGTAGTTCCTAAGTGTTAAACAGTGCCACTAGTATTTGAAGGTGCAGAGAATGGGGAATATATTCTATGATGCTCTCCACTCTCGATAGGATTAACTGGACTTCGGATGAAGTATAAATGAAGTCATAGAATGTGCGAGCAAAATTAAAAGTTTTGCAAGCCGCGTGCGTATGCAACAGCGGCTAATGTGGATTGTTGATCCTGGACCGCAATAGACTGTACCTAACTGCCTGAAACATCAAACGTCATTAGCTTCATTGTTTCGCAAAGAAGTAGTAAACTGTCCCACCGTTACGCCTCCTTCGGATAAGCCATCGTCGCTATGCTACTGAAGTCAAACCTGAATCGCTATTGTGCCTGAAACACTGAACATAATTGATCGAGAAGATTACAAAAGTTACATTGCGGTGTTTGATGTGCGACTGCGAGGCGGCCATATATGGACATCAAATACTATTATTTAGATAGATAGAGAACTTTCAAGAGAGAAGTTCTCTAAATTAGGTCAGTTGAAATAAAAGTGATTACTACTTATTGTTTGCCATTCTTATTCTATTTGTTATTTTTTGTCACTATATTTCATCTTATTACTTTGGACGCTATTTATTCTTTATTTACTCACACCATCTGCACCACACCTGGCTGGATCACCGGCGAAGTTTGCATTTCGTCGTCACCGCGCTTCAGAGCTTGCCGATGGGTTGAAGTCGCTTGAGGTATGCGAAGAACTTCAAATTTTGGACATCTGGCCTTCTATTTCCATCGTTTATAGGTAATGGATAACTATGGATAATGCTGTAGGGATTGGCTATACCTATGAATACTTTGTTGTTTTCTCCCGATAGAGAAATGTAGCGTGTCGGAAAAAACCGGAAGCATCTCTAGCACTTCAGAAGCATTTGATTGCAGCTTTCCTACCAAACTGTCATGCAAAGTATAATTTGGACACAGTCAAGCGCACTCATACACGTATTCATAAGAGCATTATAATTATTGCATATGATCTGGCATCCCTATTCATTCGAACAACTAACAATCCGAACCGGACGCTTACGATTAGAAAGATGTGGACCAATACCGGCTTCGTCGTTTACGCGCCGAAATCAAGCCATGACGATGAAGAAGTCGAGGCGTTCTATATGGACTTGGAGTAGTTCTACAGAGAAGACCACACATGCTTCAAGGCCATCATTGGAGATTTTAACGCTAAAATTGGACCAAGAAGAACGTCTGAAGAATGTAACATTGGGAGCCACATATCGGACTGGAACAAACCTGCATGAGTTTCTCTTGACAACCGACTATTCATGGTCACTCGCAATTTCAGAAGCCACACCCTCAACGCTGCATGTGGGAGTCTCCCATTGGAGAGTATTATAACCACGTCATAGTAAATTGAAGGTTTTGCCCAACCGACGCCGCTGTTTTCCCAAAATTCTACACGGGATCAAATCATCGCCTCCTTCGTGCAAGATTCCACTTTCCACAAAAAGGAGAAAAAGCCGTTAAAGTCAACAAACGAAGTCCTAAACCACTATAAAATGGGACTTATTCAACTGATTAGTCGGTTGTTGGGAAGATGTCGCTGACGATAATATCGACGAAGAATACGATCGGCTCATTCAACATCTTCACATTAGCGCTATGAAAGCTGAGAGTACGAACGTCACCAAGAGACCTCTGTCTGCAGAAACAGTCGAGCGTATACGCCAGCATGGAATCGTACAAGCTGCATGCAATCGCAAACTAACGTCCGAATTTGCAAAACAATGCAGACAGGCGATAAAAGAAGATTTCAAAGAAAGAAGAGCAGCAGTAATGGTCGAAGCTGCGGAGGCTGGGAAAAGTATTCGCAAAGCACACCGAAGCTTAGCCAATTACAAGGCCAAGATGATTGCATTCCGACGCCCAGACGGAACAGTGACAGCGTCCAGAAAGGCAATATAGAAAATCATTCACGAATACTGCTCAGATCTTCTCGATAGCCACGTCCACCTTCCGTCATGCGAAATAATGGACGATGGATATGTTGTACCACCGATTCTCCCTTCCGAAATCTGAAATACCACTTCGTCGGTGAAAAATCGAACAACACCAGGTCCGGATTGGATAAGATTTGAACACCTGAAGAATCTTCCGGCAGTTCTCGTAAAAGCACTGGTTCGGGTCTTCACACATTACCTCTCTGAATGCAAGGTGCCTACTCAGTGGAAGACCAGCAAGACCGTGCTAACGTTCAAGAAAGGTGACTTCTACGATATCGGCAACTATCGCCCAATCTGCTTACTGTTTGTCGTCTACGAACTTTTCACTCGAGTCATCCTAAACAAGATTGATAGAACACAGGACGAAGGGCAGCCATGTAAAGGATTTAGTGCGATGGACAACATCCACGCGATAACAAGACTTATTGAAGCATCGCGAGAGTACGAAAGACCGCTTTGTCTCTTTCATCGACTTAAAGAAGGCCCTTGATTTAATTGAGATTGAAGTAATCATGGAAGTCCCACTCAATATATAAAGAATCTTCGCGAGCTGTACAAAGATTTCTCAACCAAGATATCACCATTCTACAACAATATCAACATCGATGTCAAAAGAAGAGTTTGGCGAGGCGATACGATCTCGCCAAAGTTATTTACCGCCACCTTTGAGAAAGTCATGCGAACATTGGAATGCGATAATACAGAACTGAAAATCGATAGCCGGTAGTTACACCATCTTCGCCTTGCTGATGACATCGTCCTTATAACACCAAACATTGGCCAAGCGGAACGATTGCTTGCAGACTTCGATAAAGCCTATGGAAAGGTTGGTCGTCGACTAAATCTCACAAAAACGATGTTCATAAGGATTGGTTTCGTATAGTCCATTAACGCTCAACGGAACGAATATCTCCGAATGCACCAGTTATGTCTATCTAGGTCGGGAAATCAACATGTTGAACGATTTAGTTCCAGAGCTGATCAGAAGTAGCTTTCAAGAGGATCGAGAATGTAGTGAAGAGTACAAAGAACACCCGACTCCGTTCCCATCTTTTCGAGTCAACGGTTCTTCCTGCGTTAAAGTATGCGTGAGAAACCTGGTCGCTGCGTAAACAGGATGAAAAACCATTCAGCGTTATTGAACGCACAGTTGAAAGGACGATGCTAGGAGTATCCCATATCACGCAAGCAAGGGAAGGGTTCCGAAGCTCCGACCTGCGTCAACTATCAAAAGTCGAAGATGCCGTTCTGTATGGCAAATAGTCGAAGATAAGGTGGGATGGACAAGTAATGCCTATGAATGACAACCGATGGATAGGAGCCGTTAGTGACTCGATTCCTCGGGATGTTAAACGCAAGAAGACCACCGATCCGATGGTCACAGTTCTTCACGAAAGGCTTAGAAGAGATGTGATGCTCAGCGAGTCCTTAGAGCGGGCAGAACCCAATGGGCAACTCTTGCACGCCACAGTGAAAAGTAGAAGATCTACTGGCGCCCGCTCGAGTCACTCGACAATCAACGGGAGAACAGGTGATACAGGTGATTTGACATCCCATATTTTGCGAACCTCTCCCTTCCATCATTCTATTCCTTCCCTGCATCTACCATCCACAGATATGCTTGCATATTGCGCATAGCTTCGCCCGCTGCTTCAAAATCTTGGTCCAATTAGGTCTTTCGCACTGGTTTGATGGAACGCGAACACCAGGAACTCGCGAGTGCTAAAAGCCAATTTTACCACTGCGCTATTAGCTGGATGCTTTGCTCATAGGTGTCGGAGTGTGACGTACAACCGCATTTCGTTTCTCGATGCAGTCTTCTAAGCTAAGAATTTTGACATTTCCAACCGGAAACCAGTTAACACTAAAGTAGTGCTAGGAATCAGTGCCATCTGACAACGACATAATCGCTGACTGTTAAGCCGTGACCACTTGCTCAAGCTGCAACACAGGTTTCGAGACCTTTTAGGAAAAGAAAATTTCTCCGGATCAGCAAAACATTAGTCGGATGAAAATTGTGATTGAGCTGGCACCTTCGCCATTCGTGAAGATGAACGGCCGAATACTTGTCGTAAGTGCAGATCAATTTTAGAGATCTATATCCATAGATATCTATAGACATCTGTATTTAGACATTCAACATCTATATACACTTCAAAGCGTGTCCTAGTAGGTTAGATGGTCACCTTTCGGCAAGTGTTTAACTAACTATTCAATCAACTTGATATGAGCTATGCACTTTCGAAGCCATCCTTTAAAATGTTTTTCTAACACAATAGATATCTGTGATCGTGTTCATAAAATATTTTTAAACAGCACCTTCATGGGATTCCCACTGGTGTTCGTGAGTTTCGAATTACCACCAAGAGAAAGGCTCGTGGTTTTGACACAACTTTTGACATGGCCAGTTGAGGAAAATTTGAGTTTTCTTTTATCTGTAAGCCCAGTTAGGAAGATATATATACCGGGAGTCGCTGCTGTACTAATGGGTGAATCGTAATCGTAAAGAAGCAGATACAGTGAACAATGTCGGCCACTCCGTTTAGTGACGACTTGAGAAGTCTGAGTAACAGTAATTTCCGAATTTCATGGGAAAAATCTCACCCAACCAGCACAGCACCGTTCAGATGGAGACTGTGCTGATGACCGTAAGGATACATGAGGAGGTGCCATCAATGTGTTCGAATGTCTGAGGGTTCAGCTAATATAATTGATGTCTTCGATCATTTCCTAGTTTCCTTCTCAACATCATTCCTAGTTTACTTACTTGAACACTGGGATGATGCGTCCGTACTGGCTGTGCGGGTCCCAGCCAGTCGGAGTTTCGCTGGTTTAGCCATAGTTGTTCCCTGAGGTCCACAGGTCAGCCAGGCCAAAGTCTGTCCTAGGTCGTCACCACCACAAGCAGTCGCGGCCCTTGTGGAACAGAGGGAGATTTACCACCATGCGACTTTGATACTAAGACGGTGGTGGATCCTGGTATTGGTTTACTCTTAGCTAGGCTTCCTGATAGAAACGTCGGACTCCTTCTCAGCTTGGGAGACGCTGCCGGGGGATGAATCCTCCCGCTGTACATAGCAGTCCGACACCATGGAGCACCTCCCAGTCACGATGAGGCAGTAAACCGTTGGGAGGCATTCTTAGTTTGTTCTAATTCCCATACACTATATTATTCTCATTATATTTCTTCTTCTGTTGCTAAATGTTTTCAATTTAATTATAACGTTAAAACATGATTCACATAAGCATATAAGCACAGGCATAAGCATAAGCAAATCTAAAAAATGCCATAAGTTAGTTCTACAGACCAAAATCTAAGACGGTTCAAAACATATGGTCAAAAATGATGCACGATCACGACAGGTTCACAGCCTTCATAGTCGTCTGGAGACGAGTACCCAGTAACTTCCGTCCCAAGAATTGTTGAATTTTATAGATGTGATGGAAGCTTCTTCCTTTTCACTTCAGCAACTCCATTCAATGATTACTCTGATGACGTACAGAATAAAGCCATACGAAAAACAGCAAGCCGTCAGACTGCCACACCCAACTTTCGAATAACTAACTCCTAAATTTCAAGCTGTGAACAAAGAAAAAATGTAAAGTTAATAAAAATCACTAGTAATAAACGATAGCCTTCCAGAGGTTTACCGCCTCATCGTGGCTGGGAGATGTTCCTGGGTGTCGGGCTGTTCCTGTTCCTGCGATGTACACTGGGGGTGTCATCGCCCCAGCAGAGTCTCCAAAACTAAGATGGAGTCCGGTGTTTCTATCAGGAAGCCCAGCTAAACAGCTAAGAGTGAACCAAAACCGAGATGTACCACCGCTCTGGTATCAAACCAATAGCATGGTAGCAAATCTCCGTCTGATCCACAAAGGCGGCGAATACCAGTCGTGGTGATGACCTAAGGCAGACTTTGGCTAGGCTGACCTCAAGACTGCCGGAAACCGCAATAGCTAAACCAGCAAAATTTCGAGAAAATTGAAATTATGCTAGGGCCCGCACAACCGGTAAAGACGGGCCATCCAAGTATCTAAGTGATTAATGAAGTGCAGGGTAGAGATGCTTGTCACGTTTATGTCAGGTTTATTACACGCTTCATTTCCTAAACGAATTGAGATATTTTTCACCACCCCGTGTTTCCACCTAACATCTCGTCACGACGAATCCGCATACGACGGTTACGGAGCGGACGAAACCGACAATTAGCTCTGTTTCCATACAAATTTCATTCGATTATCGCTAGGGTAAAAAAATTGGCTGAGAGAAAGACAAAGATCCAGCACTCGTGAACATCTTTTATTCGGTCCGAGTTAGAGGTGGATCGCCAACTCGGATCATCGGCGCTGATGAAAACGATGACGTTGAAACGATAGTTGGATAAAACTGCTTGTCAACTTCGTCTAAGCTTATTAATGAAACAATACATGTCGACCGACTTCCACTTTCCGTACTCCTAACCGGGGCGCGTTTAGCGCGGTGGTAGGAGGCGAATGCGATACACATGGCATTGATCCCGTTCCTCAGGCCCACCAAGTCCTCCATCACTCCGGGGTACGCAATTTGGTACTAGAGTTGTCTGGGAGGACAGCCTGGCTCGATACATCGTTAGGCCACCGCGAGCCGTTGTAAAGGCCAGATATGCATTCAATCACCTCCAACGATGCTTAATGAAGTCCAGTGCATTGCGCATGCCTGAAGAGTTGATACACGCCGAAAGCTCTATCCTGTTGTACTCCCTATCCACCTTAAGAACAGAAACTTAAAGCAAATGAACATTAACAAGAGAAACATGAGCGAAACAGCGAAAAGTAGCACTTGCCCTTAAAGGGCATCTATTGGCAATCGTCGATCGGGTCCCACAACGAATGACGCACCGTTTCTGAAACGAGCTGCACTTCCAAGTCCTAAAATTCTTGTCGTTCTTTGTGACCTCTAAACATTTCCTGTTGATAACTGATAGTTGTTTCCTTTCTTAGTACATCTCCATCTAAAGTTAGGTCTCTTAAGTCTACTTGGTTGTCCTTGTGTTTTCTTCATCTTCAGTCTTTTCTCGGCACATGTGATGCACTGGTGAGGGCGCACTGCAATACACACCGGGGATCGTTCCATGCCCCCGTGGCCCACCAAGCCTTCCATCCCTCCGGTGTCGGCGAATTGGTACCAGACTTGTTTGGGAGGATGGGAGCACTGGCTCGATGCATTGATCAAAGCCGGGAGCTTTATCCTGTTTTATCTTTTAGCCTTCCTCCAGTGTTTCCTAGTGTTGTGTTCCATTGCTTATACTTGTTGCTATATAACCTTGATTCGACTGTGAAGCTTCAAGTTTTTCAGCTTTTGGTCATATTATTAAGCAAATATGGCTCGTGGACCGAAGAAGCATCTTAAGCGTCTAGCAGCACCGAAGCATTGGATGCTTGACAAACTCGGTGGAGTGTTCGCTGTTAGACCAAGAAGTGGACCACACAAACTGCGGGAATGCCTCCCATTGAATCTGTTTCTTCGTAATCGTCTTAAGTACGCATTAAACTACTCTGAAGTGAGGAAGATCTTACGACAAAGAGTCGTTAAAGTCGATGGGAAAATTCGTACTGATCATAAATTCCCGGCTGGTTTCATGGGTACGTGTAATTTTGTACTTTATTTTTGTTGTGAGCTATGTCAGAAGTTATGGGTATGTATAAATTCTTGCATTACTCGTCGGTAACTCATTGTTTCTGGAATGTATCAGTGAGAAGTGGCGCGTGTGGCGCAGTGTCGGTGGCGCCCTGTAATACACGCAGAATCGATCCCGCGCACATGGCTTACCAAGCCTGTCCCTCTAGGGTCGGCAAATTGGTACTAGACTTCTACGGGAGGATTACAGCGCTTGGTACATCGGTAGGCTACCACAAGACACTATAAAGCCAGATATGCATTCAGTCACCTCCAACGATACTTAGTGAAGGCGAATGCATGGCGCATCCCTGAGGAATAGATCAACATCGAGAGCTTCATGCTTTTACCCTTTATCATTTTTGTTCTGAGTTATATCATAACTTATAGGAAAATATAGACCCATGTCTTCCTTGTCGGCAACACATTATTTCTGCAATGTATCAGTAGGGACCTATTGCCTGCGGAACCTCATAGTTCTTGTCATATGGTTACTGCTACCCAAGGAGTGGATATTCTAAGCATTCCGGTGTTGCAGAAGCTTCTGTTCAATCTTCAATATTTCTTACAGTTATTCCTTTTTCAGACGTGATCAGCATTGAGCGAACAAATGAAACTTTCCGTCTGCTCTATGACGTCAAAGGACGCTACACTGTGCATCGAATAACGCCCGCCGAAGGACAGTTTAAACTTTGCAAGGTTAAGGCTCTTCATGTGGCCAAGAAAAACATTCCCTTCATCACCACGAATGACGGGCGCACTATCAGATATCCTGACCCACATATAAAGGTTTGTTTTCTGTGGTGAAAGTTTCTGTTTTAAGGTGACAATTCGTTGACCAAATATTATAACACTAAACTGTAAAACAAAAGTCTATTTTGGCCTAGACCATGTGAGATTGGATAGGTTTTATTTTGTATATATTGCATGCATATATACGTGTGTTCGTACACATTTGCTTGGATGCACCGTTCTCACTGGTTGTGCGGACCCCAACAAAATTTCCATTTTTCGGAGTCTTGTTAGTTTAGTTATTGTGGTTCCCTGGAGTCCCAAGGTCAGCCTAGCCAGTTTGTCCCGGTTCGTCACCACCAAAGGCAGTGGCCGCCCTTGTGGATCAGGGGGAGGTTTGCCACCATGCGACTTTGATACCAGGACGGTGGTGGATCCTGGTATTGGTGTACTCTTAGTTGGGCTTCTTGATGGAAACATCGGACTCAGCTTAGGAGGCACTGCCGGAGGGATGAATCTCTCCGCTGTACATCGCAGCCCGACACCCAGGAACACCTCCCAGCCATGGGTGAGGCGGTAAACCGTTTGTACATACATATATTTTAATGCGTATTTTTTTTGTCTACTTATGCGGACTTTCTTAATGTGTGGATTTTCCATCTCTGCTAGGTGAAGCGTTGCTGTGGACAGTGTTGATGTAAACGTGGCAAAAGAGGTGTGGAAGCATACTCATTCGGATTCTAGATATGGGATTTCTATTTGTGCCGTGTTGGATTGACTTATACCTCATTGATAGAAGAAATAAAAAGTAGTTATAGAGAACAAAGTTATGCCAAGAGTTCCTAATCACAGCTGGCAGTTAAGCTAGGATTTTACTGAAGTGGAGCCAAAGACTGTTGAGTGTTGTAATCCTAATTGTGAAATTATTGCTTACTACTTAGTTCACGAATGGTCTTTGCGTAGTAAGCAGGAACTGTATGGTCGTCCAGGTTTTTCGGTTTAGCTTCCGTGTCTTTACTGGATGGTGTTCTTTGAGTTGATGGAAATGAAATGTCTAAACGACTCCATTTTTATACAGTAGTACGGTCCTGCTAGTTCTTTTCTCTCTTTACGTACTTTACGTCCCATTCCTTTTATGTGTGAAGGACGGTGTGTTCGAAAATCAGGGATTTATCCTGATATTCATTGGATATAGCGATGACCCGTTGTTGATTTGATATGCGTTTCCTAACATATTCATCCTCAACATTTTTACCGCTTCTGGTTTTACAACTCTTAAATTTTATAGTTGTTCGTGTTTTGTATAGCTGCACTCTGGCGTGTCAACACGAAAGATTTTGGCAATAGGTGACTTTAAAACTCGTAGCTATATATACGATATACCTTCCTGAAGGATAGCCAATGAGGTGGGATACTTTTTTTTAGAAACCTTGCGGTCCCTGCATACTGATATACACATTAGAAATAGGGAGTGCATCGTTAAATACATCGTTGCGTTTAGTTTTTTCCAAGTCCTTATCTACGTCGGGCGAACCGCATTGCATGGTTTCCGTTTCGCTCGAGACACTTATAATTCGTGGAGTCTATCCTTTCTGGAGAATGTTTATTGCAGAATAGTGAATTAGTTTTCTTTCTTCTCATAGCTCGAAGACGTTTACATGGAAGAACTACATTTATCGAATTGGTCGTAGTACTTTTAATTTTCTTCCTACTCTGTATTTTGGTTTTTTCACTTTTGTTTTCACTGTTATCTAACATGTTTTTTTTTGTGTCGCCGCATTTCAAATCTGTGTATTTCTTAATGTCTTGTTTAGGTGAACGACACTGTCGTCATAGATCTTACTTCCAACAAAATCACAGACTTTGTCAAATTTGAAGCGGGAAACCTCGCCATGATTACTGGCGGCCGTAACGTTGGTCGTGTCGGTGTTATTGGACATCGTGAAAAACTTCCTGGAGCTTTCGACATCATTCACATTAAAGATGCTGCTGGACACTCCTTCGCCACTCGGTAAGTTTTGGGCAAGGAGAGAGAAGGTCGGGGGCGTAGTGCCATAACTGCCGGCCAAGGTTAGTTGGATTTTTGCCAAGGCCTTCCTAATGAGTTGTGGAAGTTGTTTTCTAGCGTAACGAACGTCTTCGTTATTGGAAAAGGCAACAAGGCTCTCGTTTCACTACCACATGGCAAAGGTATCCGCCTTACAATTGCTGAAGAAAGAGATAGAAGATTGGCTCAAAAGAAAGCTTGAATGTTTTGTTTTGTTGATAAATGTTGATTTTGTTTGTTATACAATTAAACAACTGTGTTGAACTACATCTTACTTCACTGGTTAATGTCGTTACAAATGTAGAAGTAGGCAGTTTTGGAGATATCTAGTTTCCCATGCAATAAGGCTGGTCTCTGGTGCTTGATGGAGCTTAAATTGAAATTCTTTAGCTGAGTGCTTATGGGGTGGGGTTAGTGAGAAGTTTATTAAACACTGTTTTTGTTACTATTTTAAAAAGTCCGTTTAAAAACCTATTTCCTTTAGTTTTGAAGTATGGAGGGTTGAATCGATTGGACGAATTCCGCTTTGATGAAGGAGAGTGGCATTATGATGATGAGTAGCTAAGTGTTGAGTTTCAGCTGTATAAATGAGGAAGAAATTATGGAAGGCATTGAATGGATTGCTTTGCGTCTACAAACCAGTTGATTTGTCCGTTATGGGATTAAAGAAGCAGATAGTCAAACGGATTTGTACCGATGGTAATGAAGTTGTGGGATTTCCACGGTTGCCAACGATTAAAATGCCGGTGGTAGAACCTCACGAGAAGTCCGGAGCACTCGTTGTAGTCGGAGAACGTGAAGTAGAGGATTACACGTAAGAATAGCTTTTATTCTTCCTAGTTCACGCGTTATTCGTTGGAGTGAGAGGGATTAACGATGGTATATACTACATTGTTTATGAGGAAGCTAGTACCACCATTCTGTAATTCCATTGTTAGCTGGCCCACAAACGGGTTTTGGGGCTTGAGGGTGTGTGTTATACTTCATATGCTGATGTAGATATTTCGAGTTGTAGGGTAACGTACTAATCAATTTGTATTTGCTGCCCACTGTTTTTCTTTTCATGGCAGGGTATTATGTGAAATATAACCATAATGATAATGAGATATTTGCTATATTCCGGACCGATGGTGTATGCAGTGAGGACCGGACACAACATTACCCTTTCCGGAGTTGACGTGTCCCCCACCACACCACGCGGATTTTTCGTTTCCCCTTCCTCTCAGCCATGTTGTTGACCAGTAGGTGCTATCAGCAATCACACGTTAACAGGATTGATATAGCTATACTTGCCTAGAGGTCAATAACACGGCTGAGAGAAGGGGAAACGAAGGACTCGCATGATGTGGTGGTTGTGGACGCGTTAACCCCTGAAAGGGTAATAGCGTGTTCGTTCTCCAACTGATACACCAGTGGTCCGGGGTTTAGCAGATTTCTTACGTCTTTACGGTTAGTGTACTAGTATCATTTTTACATTTACACCTGATAATATGGGAAGAGTCGAGCCTGTTAGTCGTTCAGATTCTTTGTTCAATCTTCATAACCGTTACTACATGACGATAATTAAAATTTGGAGTTTCTTTTGTGATGTATGGGTAGTTCACTCACGTAATTTTTTAATCTAATGAGGGAATATCTTGTTGAGAAATCAAAATAAGTGACATGTTACAGATGACAACACTTTAGAATGCATCCTCTTGTGTCTGGTGATGCTTTCCGACCAGAAGATATTAGATTGGAGGAAGTTCATCAGATGGAGAGTACATCATCCGGAATTTGTCGTCAGTCTATTCGGCCTCTTTGCTTTATCTGATTTTGTTTTGAGAATGGGAAAAATAGCCGTCTGAAGTAGTTTCTCATCTAGATGAGGAATTGTGAAGGAGCAAATCCTTCCAGTGATTATTCATTATTGCAGTGACATATGGACTATTATTATATGTAGTCAGCTCATTGGCTTGTTTCAGTTTTCGCTTTAAATGAGAAATGTGAAAGTATTCCTGAAATCCTAGCTCGCTCATGGGTTAACAGTTATCGGTTAGTTGGAGTCTTGGGCCGCGAGACCGATAAGCATACTATTAAGGGACGAGTCACAGCGAAAGCGGATTATGGTGAGGTGATCATTATTTTAAGTAAAACTATGAACCTCTCCACGGTTTACCATCTCATCGTGGCTGGGAGGTGTTCCAGGTTGACGGGCTGCGATGTACAGCGAAGGCATTCATCCCCAGCATGGTTTACCGAGCTGAAAAGGATTCCGGCGTTTCCATCTGGAAACCCAGCTAGGAATAAACCGATACCAGGTTCCACCACCGTTTGGTGTCAAGCTTGTCACGTGGTGACAAATCACCTTTTGATCCACAAGGACGGCAACCAGGGGCAGACTGGCCTGGCTGATCTCGGAACTCCAGGGAGCCACAATGGCTAGACCAGTAAATCTCCGGTGAACGGAAATTATGCTGGAGGCCGCACAACCAGTGACGACGAGCTGTCCAAGTATCCATATAAGTAAAATAATAGACCATTCAAAAAATTAGGAGTTCAGTAAGAACTGGAGTTTTACTTTTCCAATGTTTCTCCATGGTAGTATTTCAGATCATGTCACTCGTCACAAATTGGAGAAATTAATAGCTCGTATTCAGTCAGATTATCGAAAAAGAGCGTTCGAAACAGCAGAGGTGGACCTGCAGGTCCGTTGGGTTTCGCTTCATGTTTTACGGGTTTGTGGTTTGGTTTGGAAACTGTGAGAGAAAAGTGGATCTGTTATGTTTCCAATTATCTACAGCTGTCACTTGTCGAAACTTTAGAGCGAAGAAGCCTTTGACTTGGCTCGCAAAGGGATTCCAAGAGCACGATTGTTCGGAACACAGATAATCTACGAATGTTCAGTGAAATATTTTCATTTGCCGTTTTTCTCGTTGCAAGTTCAAAGTCTCGGTGAAACTGACGTATTTTTGAGGTATAGTATTGTTTTTACCAACTTGGTAACTTGGACGGCCCGTCCTCACTAGTTGTGCGAGCCGCAGCATAATTTCCGTTTTTCGGAGTTTTGCTGGTTCCCTGGAGTCCCGAGGTCAGCTTGGCCAAAGTCTGCTCCAGGTCGTCATCACCACAGGCAGTTGCCGTTCTTGTGGATCGGAAGGAGATTTTCCACCATGCGATTAGTTTGATACCAGGACGGTGGCGGGTCATCGTTTTGGTTTACTCTTAGCTAGGTTTCACGGTGGAAATACCGGACTCCTCAGCTTGGGAGACCTTGCTGCGGAATGAATTTCCCTCTATACATCGCAGTCCAACACCCAGGAACACCTCCCAGCCGTGATGAGGTGGTAAACCGTTGGGAGGAGTGTTGTTTTTACGTATTTGGAACACAGTAAGACCCTCCGCTTTATCAAGTTCATACATAAAAATGTCTTTTATGATAAGCAAAGTACTTACTTTCTTTATTTAAGATGCTTTATACATGAGTTAGGCGTTAACCTTGGGACAACGGCAAGCTGTGCCCGTTTACGAAGGTGTGGTTCTTTTTTGTTAGTTTTGTATTACAAACGTAATAAGTAGTAAGGAGAAACGTATTTTTCTTTATGACATAGTTTTATGCGTTGCTAATCCTGCGCTCACTTATTCTTGGTTTGAACAATCAACATATTTTTTTAGATTGTTTATAGGTTATACGAGGCTGTATAAGTTTTATTTGGGTAATGTTTTTAACTGGCACGTGTAGCGCAGTGGTCGAAGGCTTCCTGCAATATACGATCTTTGCGCCCCAAACTCACCAAACCCTCCATCACTCCGGGGTTGGCAAATTGGTACCGGACTTCTTTGGGAGGATAGCAACACTGGCTCGATGTATCGGTAAGCCTTAACGAGTCATCGTAAAGGCCAGATATGCATTCAGTCACGTCCAACGATGCTTAGTGAAGTCAAATGCATGGCGCATCGTTCAAGGATTGGTTTTATCCTTTAATGTTTTCACTGAGAGTTACTTCCAGTATTTTAGCAGTGCTCTACTCAAAAATAAATGATGCCGTATGACTGCGAAGATCCACAGAGAACGCAGAAGGCGAAGACATCGAAGCGTTGGCTAAAAAAAACTTATATAACAATGTAGTCTTATCTTTTCTAGAACATCTTAACTCTGTCATTCCTAACTGTTCTCATTTATTTGGTCTAGAATTTTAAGTTAACAAGGAAGATCTCTTTATATGTGTGCATTTAATGCCTGCTTGTTGTTAAGTATTATTTACTGCCTAATTGATTCAATGTTCAGGGCCTCTCTTGGACCATTCCATTCAAGTCATGCATTGCTAGAGAAGCAGATATCACTGCAGAACATTCTCCGGAATATAGAACTGTGCAGGTTTGCTTATTATGTTTTGGTATACATAAGTCATTAGTGATTTTAACCATTTCTTGGTTCTACATATTCAATACAGAACACGTTTTCAACAACTGCGTTTTCACCTTTATTATCAACTGTGGTGGGCTTTTCGTGGTGTCTTGAATCTCTTTCCAGAATGGCTGAGGTTGTGAATCAAAATTAAGAAGTGGAATGTTGATTGAGATTCTTGTGGTGCACGTGGTGAATTATGGCCCCGAACATGTATCTCATGGCGAACAGATGCCTTGGCTCTATGGCAGATGGGACAGGGTTTTCCATCAAAACTCCTTTTCACTGTCTTTCTAAGTACATTTTACGACGCCCAATTCGTAAAGTGTAAGAACAGCAACATACCTTTTCAGTTGTTTTTCCTAACTTCAGCGGAGAATTTGCGGAGTCACGAGTATTTATTGCGGAGACTATGATTCGATTTGAATAATTTCCAGAGGAGTATCCTTGTCACTCTTAGAAGAGGGTCAGCTTCAGTTTTCAACCGCTTTCATCGGTTTCCTGCTGAGCTGAGGTTCCTCGCTGCTTAGTCGACAGAATGCGTTTTTCTCGTCGTTGTCATCTCCAGTACTAACCTCTTTTTGTAGGATGTGTCAGTTCGAATCAACCGTTATTCATAGACATTGATTAACACAATGACTTCTGTTGGTCGGTCGGAGTGTGTGAGTCGTCCTTCGAGACCTCACTTTGTTGTAATCCGTCGAGTTTAGATGTTGATCGACTACGACGTTTGAATCTAGTTGCATTTTCCATGGTAAGCTCAGGACTATGTGTCGATTTACACAGTGTCTTCTTCAGATGCGACCGGCCACTCAGTTTGAGGCAGATTATTGTAGCTCCTATCCTTCTCTTTGAATACCTTAAAATAGAATCTTACATTGTGCTTGCTGACAGTGCTTAGCGAGAAACTGCATCAATCTTTTGAGCTTCGTTAGATCGTTAATACTAAGCGGATGCTCGTTAAACATGATGGCCATTCGATTTCGTCGAGCCACCATTTCAATTCACTGTTTCTTCCCAACACCGTGTTGTTTAGTAACCGTGATATAGAATATTACGGAATGTCACCAGTATCACCCGCGGTCCCGTTTATCACCGAGTGACTTGAGTGGGTGCCAGTAAATCTTCCATTTCTCCCTCTCGCGTACAAGAATAGCCCAGTGGGTTCTGCTTGTTTTAAGGACTCGTTGAGCGTCGTATCTTTCATCTAGGGTTTTCTTGAGGAGCTCTGACCATTGCGTCGGTGGTTTACCTGGAGTATGTTGCTTAACATTTCGAGGAATCCAGTGATTAGCGGCTGTTGTGCAAAGGCTGTCGTTCATACGCATTACGTGTCCGGCTCACTTTATCTTCCACAGTTTGGTGTATAGAACGGCGTTTTTAATTTTTGATCGTTGGCGTATATCGGTGCTTTCTTGTTACGATATTTCCTTAGCACCGCCTTTTCGACTGCGGGTTATAGCACGCTGAATGATCTTTCATCCTTTTTACGTGGAGACCACGTTTCTGATGCATATGCTAAGACAGGAAGAATTCTGGAGTCAAAAAGGTGGAATCGGAATCGCGTGTTCATTGCTTTCTTCGCTATATTCTCGATTTTTTTTTGAGATCTTCTCAAGCCATTCGTTTCCTTCTGCTCAGCTTTGGAGCTAAGTCGTTCAACATGTTGATTTCCCAACTTAGATAGACATAACTGGAACATTCCGAGATATGCGTTCCGTTGACCGTGAATGTGGCATAGAGCAATCCGTTTATCATATCTTTTTTGTGAGATTGCTGCTATCCTCCCAGACAAGTCTGGTACCAATTTGCCAACCCAGGAAGGATGGAAGGCTTGGTGGACTATGTGCGCTGGGTCGATTCCACGTGTTGCAGAGTCTCCGACCACTGCGCCACACGCGCCCTTCTCGAAGGTGGCGGTAAAAAGTTTTGGCGAGATGGTATCGCCTTGGCTAACACCTCTTTTGACGTCGATGTTAGTTTCGTTGTAGAATGATGACGGATTTGTTTCGAAATTTTTACACAGCTCACGAAAAATCTTTATATACGGACTGTGGATATCGATGGCTTCCACGAGTGCTTCTATCTCAATTGAGTCAAGGGCCTTCGTTAAATCGATAAAAGTGAGACAGAGCGGTCTTTTGTATTCTCGTGACACTTCATTGAGTCTCGTTATGGTGTTGATGTGGCCCACCGTACTGAATCCTCTTCGAAACCCTGCTTGCTGACATGGATGCCCCTCATCCAGTGCTCTGTCAGTCCTATTTAGGATGTCTCAAATGAAAAGTTTGTAGACGAAAGACAGCAAGCAGATAGGGCGATAGTTGCCGATATCGTGGAGCTCACCTTTTTTGAACAATAGCACAGTCTTGTTGGTCACCCATTGATTAAGAACCTTGCATTCTGACCGCCTGTGTATAGCCAAGCCGGAGCGTAGTTGGTGACAACTGTCGGAAGGTTCTTCAGGTGTTCTGGTCTTATCCTGTCCAGACCTGGTGTTGGATTTTTCACCGACGAATCAGGATGTCGGATTACAGAACGGAGGACCGGTGGGACGACATATTAATCTCCTTTTATTTCATATAGGAGCAGGAGAACGTGGATATTGAAAAAATCTGAGTGGTAATCGTAAATGGTTTTTCCCTCTACTCTTCTGGACGCTGTAACTGTTCCGTCTAGGCATTGAAGTGCAATCATCTTGGTCTTGTAACTGTAATTGGCAAAGTTTCGTCGTACTTCGCGAATGCTTTTCCTGACCACTGCAACTTCGACCATGACTTCTGTTCTCTCTTTACGATTTGCTTTTATCGCCCGTCTGCATTGTTTTGCAAGCTCGGACGTCATCATATTGGGCTTTTCTGGAAATTGACGTCTTTTGGTGGCTTTCAAACTCTCAGTCTTCCCAAACAGCGACGTCGGTTTTGCAAAACCTACGATTGACTATAATGTGGTCTCTTTAGTTATGGTACTTTCCATTGGGAGACTCCCACGTCCAGCGTTGAGAATGGGGCTTCTGAAAGCACATGTTCCGATGAGTGGACTTCATCATCATGGTAAATTCGGTCAGCCGCTCGCATTGTCCGTTCCACTCAAATTAGCAGGTCTCAATGTGACGTTTTTCAGAGGTTCTTCTGGATCCAGTCTTAGCGTTAAAATCTCCTTTGGTGACCTTTAAGAATGTATAACCTTTTCTGTAGAGCTTCTCTCAGTCTATATGGAAAGCTTGGACTTTCTCTTCGTCATAGTTTAATGTGGGCGTTTAAACGACGAAGATAGTCATAGTCGGATTTGATCCACATCTGTTCAATTGTAAACATCCCATTCAAGTTGTTAGTTGTTCGAATGAATCGATGTTTACGAACAAACTCGTGTTGACACGAACGCCAGCGCCGCCGACTCCTCTACTGTTGCAGTTCTTTTCCGGTGTCATAGATGGCGTTGAGGGTGTGGCGTTATCTTGTCTCGGGCAGGCCGATGATGTTGAACATTATACTTTCTCCTTGCCTGATCAAGTTCTTTATCGAAGATTCACATACACGAGAGCGTACATTGTAGGTACGGTCGTTACATTAGTCCTTCAGATTTAGGTGACCTCGAATGGTTTTGAGATTTTAGTCTTTCCGTACTTGTCGTATCCAGTGCTGCCATAGCGGGAGATCTTTCAGCTTTAAGGAGTGAGGCCCACCTATTTTACTCATGGGTAGCTTGCTAGTCTCTCCTAGAGTGGACGTGGAGCTTGTTTGTTGAAGGCGGCTCCTAACCGCCTCCCACATAATTCCCCGTCACTTGATTGCAGAATTTTGCCCGAATTGACTCATAGAATACAATCGGCACAATCGGGAACACACCCACACACGCATGCATGGATAGGTCCTCTTAAATATAGAATATATGTGCCAAATCGGTGCAATAGAGAAAGGGAGTCCATCCCTTAGTTCCACCTGCGGCTCAGAGAGGCATAAGTCCGCCGTTAACCAATCCCCTGTTCTCCACCTGTGGACACGTCACATTGCTCCATGAGTGATGCGGAATATACTCCGCTGAAACTAAACCACGTTTGAACATGAAAAATGCGGGATAGATGTTGATAAGGATTCGCTACTGTAAGCTAGCAGTTCTGAATAGTATTTTACTACATTAATAAGTATCTTATCTTTCCCAAATCGTATGTTTCCTGTATTTAGGAGAATAATGAACAGTTTGGGTAAGGACGAAGGAGTTGTTTACGAGAATAATTCACCTTACGAAGAGGTCAGAGAAGTTGTAGACGGACTTGATTTGCATATAGATCGTGAATATGATGCGATGAGACCTGTTTGGCCAAGAAATTATACTTGATTATTTTTCGTCACAACTGTAACGGGTAAGGTATTCGATTGTTCCGGATTATATGAAATTGTAGTCTTGTTTCTTAGTTTGAGACTCGTATGCCAATAAATCTTGACTTGCATGGTATTTGTTTTGCAGTTGCTATCACTTCAAAATAGTGGTCGCGTTGATTCTGCTTGGAATCCTGAGGTAGACGTTCTAGAGCACTCCCGTATGAATCGGGTGGAGTAAGCTTGTCCCGGACAAACCAGATGCTAATTATCCCACCTCAGATGGATGAGAAGCTTGGCGGACCCGAGCGGGATCGAACCAGAGCCTGAGTAGATCTATCATTTCGCGTATAAAAGGACGACACTGCCGTTGAGTCAGCCGCTTCCGCATAGTTAACATTGGAGTGTTTTATTGGATTATTGGAACTTCGTAATGTTCTTACTATTTTATTTCGCTAACGAAAAGCAGACTATATTAGAAATTTGAAGTTGTTAACATCATTGATCATTCAGTGAGCGCACCAAACAAGGGATTGTAGATGCTGGAATGGTTTTAGTAGCAAAAGACGTTAGACACATTAAACACCTTTTCTATGGTTTTCTCACCTTAGTACAACAATCCAAGTTGGGAATTAGTTCAATTTTACCATGGAAGCCGAAGTGAGTGTAAAGCAATGCTGGGAATTGCCACCATCTTGAGAAGGAATGGTTGTTGCAGTGCAGAGAGTGTTCAGTAGTTCTCAGGACCATATACGATAACGAACTTGGATGCTTTTTTCTGCTATTCCGAGGCATATTCGAATCATTTTCTTAGGAAGGTGGTTTTCTTGAGACTCAGCTGAACACAATACTCTTCCATTAAAAATTAGGCAGTAAATAAAGATTGTGATTTATACCATCGCTTCAGCTTAGTTGGGTTCATGCCGACTTGTGCTCTCTAGATCAATCCCGTTGACTTGTGATTGTTAATAGCGCCTATAGGTCAATAACAAAACAGAGAAATGCGAAACGAAGGACTCGCATGGTGTGGTGGTGAACGCGTTGCCCCGAAAAAGGTAATTGCGTGTTCGGTCCCCAGCGCTGATACCAGCGGGCCGGAGTTTTGCAAATACCTCAGCAACATTATGTTTATATCACGTTGTACGCTGCCATTAAAAATTATTAGGCAATAAATAAAAATTGCCGACTCAGCTGAGCACAAATTTTTTCATAGTAACTGTTGAACTCGATCAGTAATCATTCCGCCTGACTAACGCTTTTCAGGCATCTGTTCGATCTTCAAGTACTGGGAGCTTCGGGTTACCATAAATATTCTTGGTGAGCATAGTGAAAAATAATTCGAACGGTATCGGTCCACATCTTTCCAACTGAGAACGACCGAATCAAGTCGTGAAATAGTTCAAAGGAATCGATTCTCATTGGCAAACTCGTCTTTATGGTATCGACGCGTATAATTCTGTAGGACCACGAACCGGGGTTCACAAAAGGTTTATTCACAGTTCGAGTAATGTGATGTCATCATACAAAATAACTTACATAGTTAGCCCACTCGAGAATTTAGACGGTAGTTTGGTGCGATGTAAGCATAGATCGTCTTGTTTTACAAAACGATCCCGCTTCGAGAATTCTTTCGCGCAAGGGAAATTAAGCCTACTATCCTTGAATCTCTCGATTGTTATCTACTCGGAGCTTTACATATTCTGCGATTTCAACTGGGTATAACCACAGATATTTTCCATTTGATGCTTCTACTCATTTTATGCTTGTAGCCGAAATGACCTGCAAGATACAACCTGCCTTCTAATTAAGAACATCAGCAAATGCGTGAATGAATATATCTACGTACATACAGAAGTTATATGTCATTCGGCCGGCGCGTAAAGAAGCAGTCCATCCCTGAAGGATTTTCTTCTGAGGACAAGTGTAGTCACTTCTGGATCATCTTCATACCCTTTAGGCCACTAGGGCATGTTCGAACTAGCCTGGCCACTGACGGAATGACAATCTCTCAGCAAAGGTGATCTGATGACTCCTTCTTACCATCACATTTAAATTTAAATTTTAGTTTAAACAGTTTGAAATCATCTAGAAAAGATCATATATGTCCACATATAATTTAGGATTTCTTCCGCAACGTTATCAAGTTCTGGGTATCCCTCTTTAGCGAAAACTATCCGCACTTATCGAAAAGCTCACGAAATCCCCACTGGGTTAATCAGGGCAACTGCTTATTTTGTCCCATTTATTTTCACATAGCACTGACCAACTTTACAATTAGTACAGTCCATAGCGAACACTGCTTTAGTTCCCTTTCTTCGCGACTCTCCTCTATCGTTTTAGTCTCGAGAATATCCGGCTGCTTATGTTTGAGAAGGTTCCGTTCAAGAGCTCTGCGAGTAATGTTTAAAATCTGCAACATTTCTGATTTGTCAACAGATGCCTTAATTGCATAGAAAAGCGTTTAAAAGACGGTTATGTCGAGAACGGATTGCTAGATTCATTTATTGGTCGGTTAAATCTCATATGCCCAATGTAGCGCATGCTACGCTTCTTTCAGCACAGTGTTTCTAGTTTCTCTAGTTTCCTCTAGTGTTTCTCTATGTTCATCAACGCCTCAAGTTCACTGTGCCATCTATTCCCATTTGTTTAACGTTGCTTAATTTTTTTCATGGACTGGGCTTTCTTCCAGTTTATTCGCTGTCCTATCCTCTGCTACGTTTTCTCATTGAGGCACTGTTCAGCGTCGTTTTCTACGTAATCCTAAGACAGCTGGGCTAATCACTCCATTTGATCACCACAAACGTTGGCCAGCTCTTGTGGATCGGCCTACTACCTTTCGAGTAGGCTTCATCTAACAGTAGCGGTTTACATAATTTAGTCGGTAGAGCACTCGCAAACAATATAGCAAGCACCTTATTCTAGAATACTATTTTATTCAGATGGAATGCGATCTCGTTTTCAATAATTTGTCGGTTACCTCACACCACACAAGAAATAAGGTATATGGTAACTGGATTTGTGATTTTTCCGTCTTTGCCGTGGAGGAAATGTTGCAGTGCTTTGTTATGCATACACAGCAATAGAAGAGCTTATGAATTAATTGATGTGTTAGAGTCCAGTGGTAAATCCAGGTCATTGCACAATTTCCCAACATTCTCTTCCATGTTTATTTAGTGCCGTTCAAGGACGACCACCGTTTGATGGGCACAGAACTTCACGTTCGGTTTTTTTAATTCAGAAGCCCTCCCAGCAGTCTGTCACACAGCTAAGATCTGAGTTGGAACCACAACTCTGCCAAGAACTTCATTCGCAGATATTCGAAAACTATGTTTTGAAATATACCCATGAATACAATTTCAAGTGAGAATTTTTCCTGATCGAAATTACAACAAAAGTCCCACTCTCGAGGTTCACGGAAATGTCGAGTGTGTGACATGTATTTGGCAATTATTAGGTGACGATGCTGTGATAATTCTTTTAATTTTACAAGTCTTATAGCCAAACGACCGTTGAAGAGGACAATGTTTCAGCTGTGGGAGAACTCGGTTGAAGCAAGTTTATCTTCAACTCCTCTTGAACGTTCATTCTATCTAACGCTAGACTTTCGTCACAGTCATCATCCAGACGTACTCTTTGGCCTCTATCCCAGAATCTAAGATGACTAGATCACCATTGTATATAATTGATAATTTCTTAACAAAGTTTATTGGCTGGGTTTAGAAAAATTTCACATGTATTCCATACCTCATCTCCCACACAACAATGAGGAATATGTGTATAGCGTAGGAAAAACAATCTCTGAGTTAACAAGCTTAGAGAAGAGCGTTGGAAGCCATCCCGCCGATGTTTTGCAAATCTCTTGGCGCTTCTTGATGGAAAGCATCGAATCTGCTGTTGAATGAGTTCATAAACGCCACTTTAGCTGGAGACTCAGCAGTGGCACGATCTTTCTGCAACGAATCATTTTTTTATAATTGTCACTGGAACCAAACTGTCCTCATTATTAATACAAATTCTCCAAAAGGTTATCATTTCATCGTAGCACAAAGGTGTTCCTGTATGTAGAACTGTGATGTGATCCTGAGCGTCCTTATCTGTACAGATTCATGACCGCTTCTCAGAAAAAATTTAATATTTATATCTGAAAGAAAGTGGCAGCTCGACTAAAAATCCTCTAGTGTCAGGACTCATGAGCAAATTGACCACATTTTCATAGACATAAAGCGGTTCCCGCTAGAAGCCTTTGTGGTGCCGCCTTCCGGCATTTGCTGAGACAGAAGCTGGAAAAGAATTCTTGTCAGATCCCGAAAGGAAAAAAGACTAGTTGAACCACTCGTCGTGAATGCCCTATAGGCTTTTAACAAGCATTACCTTGTGACGCACATGAAGAATTTTCGATAAAGCTGAATCAGTTGAGAAAATAGGATATGCACAGAATTCTGTAGTTTTCGCTACATCTCAACCGTATCTAGGACTGTGCAATAATCTTGTCGAGAATACAATTTCGTCCTTGTTCTAACTTGTATCGGCTATGACAGGGTGCCACTATGTCGGAATTCGGAATGCTATTCTGAGTGCACCTGTCGACTTGGTATACCAATTAGTACACCTAACTGACTACTATCACAGGTTTACCATGAACATATTGCCTCTCTATCATCTTGTCACCACCTCCACAGGATCCAATAAAACACCACCACCCAGAAGCTGTTCACATTAGTGCTACAGTGGATAATGACGTCCCCGGATTAATGTTCTATTGTTTTGCTACCGATGCTGTTATCTTTTCGAGAACAAGTAAAAGGAGACACTACGAAGTAGGTGAAAGAAGAAATTCGATATGTTGTAAATGTCGCGGAGCAAGAGATTTTCTTACCAGATAGAGACTCATAATGGAGTTTCTCATTATTACTTCCGCACAACTTTTCAACCTCAATGGAAGTTGGACTTCTAAGCTCTCAAATTAGTAAAGAAAGTGAAAAACTGCAAAAAGTTTATAAGCCTCTTCACAACGAGGTCCAACTCAGCAGCGTGTAGCATGCTATCTATGGCGGTGTTATATAACGTTGCTAATTTCGATTGGATGGAATGGACCCTCTGCAATGTGGTTTAGTCGAGAGGAGAACTTCCTATATGAAGAACAAATGAGTTTATTTCATCGGTGTGAATTTGTTATGAGATCCAGACTCCGTGTGACTCATATGAATGATGACGAAGTACTTCAAAACGAAGTTTATAATATATTGTCCATAAGTATTTAATATAACCCAATTTTTTAAATGTCAATGTGGAGTCGTTATAGTAACATCCTAAGCGATAGCACTGAACACCGGAATAAAACAAAGTTCAGTAAATTGAAGTGAGAATTCAAAAAAACTCAAAAGACCGACTTTCCATAAACCTCGCCATAGATAGTTGATATATTTATATGGTCTCATAAACTGATCTTGTTGAGCCGATGCGAAGTTGGTATAGGTCTTCGTTGTCGTCGTTATTGTTGTTATCGTTGCTGTTGGTGTCGTTGGTTGATGGCCGACGTTTCAGCGATTTAGCCTTCCTGAGAGTCATGATGTGGCATGTGAATGTTTCTTGAAGTGACAAGTGACAAGAAGTCCGACCCGTAACAGCACGGCTCTGAGGAATGCGAAATTGCCGAAACGTCAGCCATCGACCATCAATACCAACACCAACGACGGCAGCAACAACAACAACAACAACGGCAACAAAAACTCCTCGCATCGGCTCAACAGGATCAGTTTGTAAGATGCTATAAATAACTATAGAAGAAATTTAATGTAACAGAACTTGAGAAGTCGGTTGCTGTAAAAATTGGAAACAATATCAAAAGATTGGCGCTTACATCAAACTCTGTTCTGAAGATACTTCTGTAGTGACATTCCTTGCTAGCTCGAAACCGAGAAAACAGCGTCATCATTATGTTCTGGAAAGGAATTCAAAAGCGCGTGGAAGGAAAAGAACACAATTTCCATCGAGTTGTAAACGCAAGGTAATTTTCAATCAAGAAAGCAGTAAAGAAGACCGCTGTAGAAAACATTTCACTACAGAAATGAGCAGCGTTGTTTCTACAAACTAGACACGAAGAGAGTATGTGATCTGAAGTACTGAAATTATCTTTCTAATACCCTTAAGAATTTTCGCGCGCCATCGCATAAAATTTTACTGAGATGAGTACATTGTATAAATATTTAATGTAGCGATATTTAGAAACCGTATATTTCACCTACATTATATGCATTGCAATTCTTTGCAGCATCGGCTGGATCAGGAGAAACCAGGTTTTTTTCAGTCCACATCTCCTGAAATTTTTCAGTTTCCACATTTTCTCTTCTGCTTTGTTTGATGTCAGAAATTTTCTGACAGTGAGAGGTAAAAGTTTGGAATGAGGATAAGACGAGCCTACGATCCTCAGAGCATCACATTTTGACTAGTGATAGACGTCGTAAAGTTTTTAAAATTAATGTGCGTATCTACTGATGTTAATCGTGCTCGTACACATAAAACACTAAAGGATGAAGTATTCAGCATTAATCAATGTCTAATGGATGTGCCTTGCATTGGACTTCTGCAGTGCAAATGTAGTTAAATGCATAATTAGCCCATAAAAACTTGGAAGGAGGATAGCGCAGAAATTAGTAATGTCGTTGACCAGAAAAAAGGTGCTAGTTCGACCACCTCTTCAATGTTCTCCTCGAATCCAAGTGAGAACGCTTTAGTTGGGCCCTCGTCAAGATAGCAAGGAGCATCGACTCGACCAACATTCTGTGACATTCATAGAGAAGATGAAATCCTCAAGCATGAGCCGAGGCAGCGGACGAAATGTTTGAAGAACATTATGGAACGTGGATGCAATGGAAGCGAATCGAGTGTAAGAAGTGCTGACATCAGCAGGGTTGGTTTGATGGTGGGTCATGTAGAACAAATTTTAAAAATTAATAATACAATACTTGAAATGTATGATGTTTTTCTTCTAGACAACTACCAATTTGCCGTACCCGGATGCATGTAAAGCATAGTTTGGTTGAATGCGGGAGGGATCGAACCAATGACCACGTGCATATGGTATGGCGCTCTAGCAACTACGCACTACTACTGCACCAGCCCACGTCTATGCGCTTAATTACGTCGGAGCGCTGTTTTAAATCCTAGAGAATGATACAACGTCAACACCATTCTGTTTTAGTTGAAACTGAAAGGATCCTCAATGCATACGGAGACGTTGAATGTATCATCCACAGATCCAACACATCAATCTATTGAAGCATTGCTAAGAAGTTGTAGCCAAATATTCACAATCTGCCAATTTAGTTGAACCAAATTGTTTGCCTTTTAAGAAGAAGATCGAGCAGTGGACTTTCACACTGGTATAGTATTTGCGAACTACTGACAGGTTAATAGTAGACCTAGCACTTCATTAAGAGAATTTTTAGAATAGGGTAGGTAAAATAATAAAATGGAACGAAAAAAGAAAAATTACAGGCCACGAGATGACAACGTTTCCATCCCAAAAAAAATTTATCACAATTTGCTTGATGATGTAAAGTAGATTAAATGGTGGTGGCACCGCGGACGACCAGTCCATATATTCCGAATAGATGACGACACGAGTGTACTTGAACTCGCTTTCTTCATTCTCCTGAAAATATACAATATTTTCATGACCTCGTCATAGCATTATCCCAACGGTTTACCACCTCATTGTGCCTGGGAGGTGTTCCTGGATGTCGGAGTGCGGTGTACAGCGGGCGGATTCATTCCCTGCAGGGTTTCCCAAGCCGAGAAGGAGTCCGACGCTTCCATCAGGAAATCTAGCTAAGAGTAAACCAATACCAGGATCCACCACCGTATCAAACTAGTCGCATAGTGGCAAATCTCCCTTTTATTCACAGGAACTGTGACCGCCTGTGGTGGCGAAGACCTGGATCAGACTTTAGCTAGGCTGACCTCGGAATTCCAGGAAACCACAATGGCTTAACCAGCAAATCTCCGAAAAATGGAGATTGTGCTGGGCGCGCACATCCAGTGAGGACGGGCCATTTAAGTATCAAGTATCATAGGGTATAAATAATCTTAAGAAGTAGAAACAACATACCAGCACTTCATCAGCTTTTTTCACAAGCAGTGACACCATTAAATTGAGTAAAGCTATCACAATGATACAGTGGTAGGCCGTAAGGATCGCCTAAACAATAATGTACTGGCTTCGAACATCTTCAGATTAACTGTGGATGAAAAGAATGATTACTCGGAAACGATGGTTTTCTTGCAAAAAACATTGATCCTCTCTAGATATACTTAAATACCTTCATAGCTTGAACAATAATTTTCGATATCACCTAATAAGGATTGGTACAATAAAAACGCTTTATGAATTATAATGCAAGCTATGCGTATCGATCAGTTCTGGTCATGTGACAAGGTAATATATGTTGACGGAGTGGTCATAGAACAATCGCTGAGGATCTACTGTAAAGTCTTTCCAAAGATCTAATTAAGGAATTACCAATGAAATAATGGCGAAGAACCAATTTTAACACTTTTATCACCTCAGTGGCAAACGAACTGATTGCATGATCGACTGGTGATTGATTTGGACCAGAATTTCCAGCCACGACAGGGTAAATAGAAGGATCGAGGTAGCCGTACACTGCCCAGTACATACTTCGTAGGGTAGAAAATAGGCTATAATCATGCAGTTATCACACTCTCCCTTGTGGTATCATATTAGTTAAGCAATAGTGGAAATATAACAATAGTAGCCTTTATGAATGGACGGCCACAGATTGATTGAAGTGAGCTCAAGCTTTTGCATCGAACTGATGAAGGAGTCAAACGACATAAAGCAGCACTTATTCTCTCTGTAACTATGGCTTGTAGTGTTCTTCCCTTTAATCATAAGAATTAGTATTAGTACCATCAAAAAATGTGGCTAAATGCTTTTCGTAACGAAAGGAAAATCGGGTAAAACACTCATTACTGCATTGCTGACATGGCTTATTAATAAAACACCCAACTTGCTGTGATGGCCTTTCGTTATTTCAAAGATACCCCCAATCATAAAACACTGTTATCACCACTTTAACTTATTCTTTACTGCCTACTCTTTTTAACGGCGTAGTATAGGTTGCGAAATATAACTTCAATGATGCTGAGATGTTTTGCAAAACCCCGGGCCGCAGGTGTCTGCGGTGGGGAACGAACGCGCCATTATCCTTTCCGGGAAGTAATGCGTTCACCACCACGCCATGCGGGTCCTTCGTTTGGGCTCCCCAAATCAATACCGCTGACGGGTGATTGTTGTTGCCAAAAGGTCGGTAGAACTAGATGAAAGACAGGCGAAACGAATGACCCGCATGGTGTGGTGGTGAACGCGTTACTACCTGGAATGGAAAATAGCGCGTTCGTTCCCCACCGCAGACACCTGCGGTCCAGAGTTTTGCAAATATCTCGGCATCATTGATTGTTATCATCTTTTTACATTGTCATCATACATACAGGTGTAGATATTCCATCTTAGTTAATAAAAAGTCTCACTTTCCAAACTGATGACCCATCTTGCGCACCACTCCATCTTCCATGATGGCAACACTGTTTAGATAGGGCTGTACAAGCAGATTTACGCCAACGGCAAACGAAAACATAATCACTCCCATCACCACCAAGTAGTTGTAGATGGTCGATACACAACGGCCGACAGAAATCTGCAGTGAACTTGGAAATGAGCGAAATAGATAAAATATTCCAACTACGCAGTCAGGTTTGCATCTTTGATTGGGTCTCTATTAAGTTCTATTGCGTAAGGACAAATCAGCAAAGTATTGTAAAGCACGATGAAGTATTCAATAAACATTGATTGGTCATAGGGGGTGAACCCGAAGTGGTTGGCGATGCAGCCTACTAGGAAGCGAACTTATGTTCCAATACACTGCTCAACGCGCTCTACTAATCCGCGGGGGAACGCCTTAGCTCGGATCCTTCCAGGATTTCAGGGAGAATCCACTCGACCAGAATTTTGCGACATTCACAAAGAAAGCGAATTCCTCAAGCAACGACTGAAATAAGAAACGAAATGTTCGAAAACCTTTATGGACAATGAATTCAAGAAGAATGAATCGAATGCAAGAGCTCCTGGCATCTGCACAGCAGATGTGACGTGGGGTCATGTAGTAAAAAAAAATAAAAATTGACTAATTGTGCCGAAGTTTACAGGAAACTCGGCTTTCACAATTCCCACGACCAACTTTGTGTTAACATCGCTACTGATCATTTAATTCGCAATATACTTGTTAAGCAAACGCGAAGTGTTACTTTATTCTTCATTCCGATAAAGCTGACGTTTCGCCAGTATTGCCTTCTTCCGAGGCTGGAGGTGTAAATCGGTATGCAATTCACTACGTCTTCGTCTTTCATCCTGCTGTTCGTATGTTATTGAAGCGTTTAGCCGATACTATGTACCCTTCCAGGCTCTGAAGAAGGTGATACTGCCGAAACGTCATCTTTAACGGAATAAAGAAAAATAAAATAAGACCTCATGTTTGCTAAACAAGAATATCGAGACTTTCACAACATTGTTACACTATGTGTCAAACAGTAGTAGTACGGACTACTATAGGATGCATTTCCGACAAAAAGTATATTATGTGGGATTGTGGCAACAGATCAACAACCGTGTGTATAGATTGGTCTCGCCGATAAGGAAGCTTCCGTGCTCCACTCCATAAAATCGGACACGATGTGGCTATGAAAGGAGGCATTACAACATTGAGTAAACTTATGAATACAGAAAAATATGAAGATAGAACATCACTTCGAACGTCGCAAATAAGGTGCTCTTCGTAAGAAAAGCATAATTAAAAAAATTCAAAGGTGAGAACGTCTCGAAATGGCCATGGTAATAAATATTAACAAGCACAGGAAATTTACCCTGGAGAGATGGTGGGCTTGGTGAGCTTGGAGCGTGGTGATAGATCCCAAGTATCCCATAAAATATCGTAGGGATCAGCAAACATCAATGTTAGCACTAAACTATCGTCAAGAAAGAAAGGCAGTTTACTTACGCTTAGCAGTCGACTCGGTCTTTTAAAGGACGTATGTGATACTCGTCGGTTCGAAAGCGTGAACAGTAAGTCTCGTTATTCTCAGCAAAATATTTCCATAAGACGCTTACTCCAAAAACGTTCAATTTGCGTTTAGTAATCATGGAAACAGTCAATTGGTAGAGGCTGGCACCACATTTCGAGAACCAGTATATTATATCTCAAGCTCTCCACTAAAGCGAAGCTGGGATCCGTAACTGAATATCCGTGGAATCTACTTAATAAAGGAAAATGAAAACAAAGAGAGGAGCTTGGGCCTCCAATTTTTCTTAATATTCTGTGAATAGCTCATAAACTAACCACACTACCGCCCAACCCCTTTAAGAGTTGAAAAAAATAGAATGTTTTCCACAGTCCAAGGGTGCATCCGGTGCACACATAGATGTCATATATAAGAAAATAATCCCAAGCGGGCTGAAAAAAAGTGGTTAAAACAAGTTTTTTGCCTTGTTGATGAGTTGTGCACTCTAAATTTTTTTTCCAAAAATTTTTCCTAGGCTAATATTCCACATATGTCCACTATATGTTAACCAATTTATAAAAAAGCTTCTTTGAGTGTGTATCGCTTACCCAGTGAATCCGACCAAGCATTTCGAGATCGGGCTCCATCGGCATTAAGATTCCAGTTAACCAGAGGTGAAAAGCAAGGGAGAATACACCGACGAGCATGAAGTCAAACCTAGAATTGAAAACGTCATTTTCGTCTACATCACATCAAAACAGCAATAGTAACACGGTACAAGAGACACCTAAGCAATAGGGAAGCAAGATGCGAAGCTCAAACCATCGCTATGTGACGAGTACACTAAATGTTACCATAACCACTACTAGAAACACAGAAAGTCGGCTCACCATCGCCACCAAAAGTTAAAATAGTTCCGGAAACCGTGGCGGGTAAATTGAATGTAACGCTCAGTGAGCATTCCCGTCACATACAGATAGCAGTATGTCTCGATAGCTATTCCACCAGCTTAAAAAGTTTCAGTTACCAAATGGTCATTGTTCTAAGTGGAGTTGTTACTTTCGAATAAAGTTTCAACGCCGCTACTTAAAAAGCCAAAAATGTGCTGTGAACTAAAAACTTATATACGAGGCAATAAGGACGAATTATATTTTGATGCCTATATTTTATAGTTGCTATATTCTTGTTGGATCGTCCGCAGTAGGAAAGTAGACTAACTATAGTAGGAATCGCTTCTGCCGTAGAAGATCGCAGTCATACGCCACCAAACCTCCGTCTGATCCACAAGGACAAGCGAATGCCAGTCGTGGGATTTGGGAGCGCAATAGTACTATTGTTTTGGGATTCCAAAGAAAACCATGCTTAACCACCATTCATCATGTCAATGAAGTGGGAATGTAACGTGTCCTCAAGTTGCAGCCGAATCCACAAGCGCAACGATAGCCCTTATGGATAACCATTCCAAAGGAGTGAAATGAACAGAAAAAAGGCCAGTACGTGGGGAGATGGGTCATCTATTAACATATTCACGGACGCTTGGACGCATCAATTTTGCAACAATGACTAACGAATACATAATGTTTTACTTCTACTTAACGCTCATTATTTCTCATGTAAAGGTATTATGTGAAATACAATCACAACGGTGCCGAGATATTTGCAAAGCTCAGACCCCAATCCAGATTCGTACGTGCGATAACCCTTTCGGCGGCATAAATTTCTATTCAATGCACCATTGAGACTTTGCTTTGCATTCTCTCAGGCAGTTTTCCACTTCAACTTCGTCCATCAGGACGGATTGCGGAGCAATGTAGTCGCAAAAATCTTGACACTCCGGACTGGGTAGTTTTTAAGCTGCTTACCATAATTTTTTTGCTCATGTCGACGTAATTCCTCTTGCAAAGATTTGCTACAGCTGGTATTTATTATCAAGCGTGTTAGATGTGTTGCAGTGAGATCAAAGCTCAGCGTCCTTCTTTTTTCAGCCAACTCCTCAGTAGTAATGGAGATGTGGTCTTGTGAGGAAATGAGGCGAGTTCGGCAAAAGTTTCAAGTCTTGGACCAGCAGCTTGTTGTCTTCGGTCAAGTCTTTTTCGTCTGCTATTCATATAAGAAAAAAATTTTGTTGAGAATATACTTATCATCCACGACTTGTTTCGTTTATCTTGTACGATGACATGAGTTCTTTTCCACCATATGGCTGATCAAGTCCGGTACAGAACCCAGGTGCTAATGTCAAAGAAGCACCATTTTATCTTCATGAGAATATGGTCCATCTCGATGTAACCGGTGCCGATAGGGGACACTCATGTTTTTGGGGAATTTTTTCTGTTTTCGAAAAATGAATTCCCACGGAAGAAACGAGCTGTAGGCACGTCTCTTATCCCCCATCCCGAATTCATTTACATCTCCCGTTTCTAATCCTGAGTTGAATTCTCCAACAACGATTTTATAGATCTTGGGTCTTACCAACTTCTCGTTGTAGTTTGCTTTCTCCAAATGATTGTAAAATGCATCCAGTTCGCCCTTATCGGCTGCACAAGTTCTTAAGTAACAGTTGATGATATCGACTTTCTTTCGACATGCAGGTTGTAGACAAATAATGGGCAAGCGCGGTGATAGGTTTTCCCATGAGGTGACTAGAAGAGTGCACGGCAAAACCAACACCTCTGGTATTTCGTAATGGAGATTTCCTTTGGCGAATAACAACGGTTCCATCATCTGACTGGCGTATGTCGGTCTTTCTACTTCTCGTCTCTTCCAGGGTGATCATGTGGAATTTGATGTGTTCAGCAACATCAAGAAGAGAGCAAAGTTCAACGTTTTATGAAGTAGTCCCCATCTCCATGGTGCGCAGAGGCGGTGCTTGTTTTGCCCGTTTACAATAACATACTGTGCAACCCATGACTTGATCACCCATCACCGGTTGTCTCACTACCCGACATCGTAGACGGAAACACTCAGCGTGTGGGGTACTGAGGCATGAGGCTTGCTGGACTAGACACTATGGTTCATTGGTGTTTCGAGGTCAACTTGCCCGAAGCCTCCCACAAGTGGTCACCACTCGGTGCAATCGCCGCTATTGTGGATGAGAGGAAACTTTGCCACCATGTGACTAGTTTGATAGCACGACGGTGGTCATTCCTCATATTGGTCTGGTCTTAGTTGGGTTTCCAGATGGAAACGTAGGGCTCGTTCACACCTTGGGAAAACCTTCTGAGAAGATGAACCCTTCGATGTACATCGCAACCCGACACTCAGAAGCACCTAATAGCCAAGAAGAGCTGAAAACCGCTGAGTGGGGGCTCGTTATAGGTTGTGTAATGTAATTTTGTACAGTTATGAAATCAGTTTCTGCTACTGCAGTCCTTTTAAAAGTGTTTTTGTGATGATAAACTGTTTTTGCTGCTATTTTGATTGCAATGAAATTCTAGGGAAAATATTCCACTACTCAATGAGTAGAGAAGGCAGCTGCCCAGATGCCGGGCCAACTCATAACACCAATCTACCACCTTCATGGATGAGCTCCAAGACAACAAATCGAATAGAGGAAATGCTGCTTAAGCGAAAGATATTCGAGAACGATCCATCTAACTTTTTAATCATATGAAAGCTTACGGTATCCAATAGGAGTGTGCACAAATTTCGCTTGCTCTCCGATTTTCACATATCGCATTGCGATTAAACAGCCAACAAAAGTGGCATAGCTGGACATATGACTGATGTACCTAAAATAGGAATGGGCAGTGAAGGATTCTTGCTTGTTTACACAGTTGCAATTTTTCCACTAATGTTTAGGTGGTAGAGTGTGCAAATTGTCGAGCAAATATATTCGATAGCATTTCTTTAAAAATAGATCGGATGCGACTGTATTTGACAACGACGTGTTTGAGGAAAGATGGATAAGATAGACGCATGAAAAGCATGGACAAAATACTTGTGATTCTAAAGTACGAAATCATATAACACTTAACAGCTTTGAGAGTTTCAAAGTAAAAAAAAAACTAGAAGCATAAAGCATTAACACAGATTGAAATGGATTCCTCCTTTCTGGAAGAGGTAAGCTTTATTTCTACTACTGTCAGGTAGTTTCTAGCCGATTATGTGACCATCTATGTAAAGCATAAAATGGCATAATATGCCTTAACGGTCGAGATGGCGATGCGCGAGTTTGGATACGGTGTACTTAATCTCTTATAAAGTCTGCTGGGCCGAATACACTGTGAAACGGATATAATACCCTGTTCCTGTATAAAAGAACACCTAGATAAGAAACTTAAGATCAAACCAAGCGCTACACTATGCACGCATAGGATGAAGAGACGGAATGCGGAAGATTTTGAAGAAATCATCACTTTCACAATGGAATCTATTGAATCAGTGCACCAATCTCTTCAAGCATGTGGCTTTTCTCCATCAAAAACTGGAATTCTTGTAAACAACAAAACGGTGAGTGTTTCGAAGAAGAGCTGTTTTCACACGACTTAAACCTAGATGTAAAACGAGGTTATAAAAGTGTTTGACTAAGTGTATTGTCTTTTCGGAATACGACGAACACTCGTCGCCAAAACGTCAAACGATGTTGAATAAATCATATTAACAACCGCGACTCTGTTCAAGAAGAAAAAAACTAACTTTATTTGTGGGGTGGGCTATTCACAAATTCGAGGTGACAGTGTTTCGTTGGATTATATCAATGGCACGAAATAAGCGGCTTATAATTCTGAGTACCATCCTAAGTAGCGAATTTGGCTACTTAGCACCGAAGCAATAAAAAACCCCTTATCCTCAGACTGTAATCGTACTCGGGACCAGTTGAGCGCAAATCCACTGCGTTTCACGTTTTGTATCGCGTTTAAAACTTGCTTATTTATTGACTATGCAATCCGAAGAATTAGAACTTTTAATTATAAAGACGAGAACTTTAGCAAAAATAGTTCGTGTATGTCACACCTGGCCAGTGGCACTTCAAACGACGTTGCCATCTTCCCGTTGGTGATAATGAATAAAAAAGCTAGTATAGGATACAGAAACACATGTCGTAGTACTCGATATGAATCTCGAAGTGAGTTAGAACCGAAGTTACCCCATCCTGCAATGGTCTTAACACCAAGTAGCCCTCATAACAATGTTTCAGATGTTAAATTTCTTGCTTATTTTAAATGCCTTCGCAATAGCAATGTAATATCAAACGCACTTCAATTACATAACCTAATCATTTGAAAATTGCAACTTTTTATTGAAATAGTTGAAAGAAAAGTACTATTCTCGAAAAGTAATACCTCTCCACCAAATACAAGACATTGCTCGTTGTACGTTGGGACTGCCAGCAAACTGCCGCATCTTAGCTTCCAAAGCCAAATGTATACGCGGATAAGGGTTGGCGCACATTGCTAGTGGACAGTAACATTTCTAAACATTTATCAAAAGTATTTACCATAAAAGTGCAAATGGTGCAATTTTTTTACTTTTACACGACCCGTCAGACCCGTCATCGCATTTACTGATCAGTGTTTAATGGGAGGAGGTAAAAACGCGACGTAACATTATAAACAGATTTTGTTAACAGAGGTTCGTACCGGATAAATGTACTTTGCTAAGTGCACTACGTATCGCCTACCACCTCCTTTAGGTACGTCTAGGGCAAATTTTATAACATTTTCATTTATATCCAAATTTAAGTCTCTAGACCGCGCGCGTATCGTCTACCATCTACTTTAGGTACGTCTAGGGCAAATTTTATAACATTTTAGTTTATTCCAGATTTAAGTTTCTAGATTCGCCAATTGTGCGTGGGTCTGGTCTGCTTTCTGTTAAACAGTTAGAGGACGACTTCAAAATCTGCAAAAGCTGACGCACCTATGTGGCGCCTAATTTTTGGGCGCACTTGCTGTGAGTGCATTTGCACTCACGCCTGTCACTATGTTTGTCAAACTAAGACCGGTTTCTAGGACCAACTATATAACGAAACACATCTGACCAAACTGGTTCGAAAATGGACATAATTTTGTTTCATGTTAAGTAGAAATCACACAATTATTCCAGGCGCTCTTCATGGAGTACGAATTTTATGAAAAAGAGAAGGCTCTGCGAAAGGATCTAAGCGACGCTGAAACCATAGGAGTTTTCGTAAGGCTTAGAGTCGCTGGCACTTCACGATTTTGTCTTTAGTCTTATTATGTCTCCTCTGTTGTCAACATTAACGTACATTACATCCATCGGCTGTATTCCCACTAAGCACGAAACGACTTAAGGGACGATCAGCAGAGTCATCATCTACATCGCGCATTGGAAGCGTCCATTGTGCTCCATGCTCACGAGAGTCCCGATGCCGCATTTCTTGCATTTGATTCGTTTTCCTCGTATTCATGGTCCACGAAGGTCTTTGAACAATTCGCGTTTCCACAGTGCTAACCTTCTATTTACTGCCTATTAAAATTTTCCACGGGTGGATATTATGTGTGATACAACTGTAATGACGCTGAGATATTTGCAAAACCCCGGACAGCAGGTGTCTGCGGTGGGAAACGAACGCGCTGTTACCTTTTCCGAAGGCTAACGCGTCCACTATCACACTATGCAGGTCCTTCTTTCGCCTGTCTCTCAGTTAGTTCTATCGATCACTGCCAACAGCAATCACTCCTCAACGGGATTAATATGGGAGCTCAAATCGGCAACAAACCCAGTTAATTCGCGTCTTGCTTTGGTTTCTGATTGAGGACTTCGCTCCTTCATAAATGTGTTAGAGTGCTGATCGAGTTTATTCTCTTTGCAATCACAATGTCAAGCTTTTATTTACTACCTGCTATTATTGTTTACGCTAGAATATAATGTGAAAAGCAACCACTATGGAGCTTAGATAATTACGAAACCTGGATCACATACCAGATTCGAACCCACGAATTAACTTTTCCAGGGGCTCATGTGTTACCTACTGCACAACTGATGCCTTTATTTTGACTTTCTCACGGCGTTTTCTACCTAACGGTGCCACGCAATCTTGTAGATGATCGACCTATGGCGTACCCACATGAATTGAAGATAGTTGGTTGGCGGTCGAACCAGCGCCTTACTTTCTGCTGCGATGTGCAATTAAACATTGCGTTACCATCCTCTATGAATGGTACGGTACATCGGCCGAAATCGTTAACGGAATAGATGGTTCAATGACAGTGATGAACACCGTCCTGACGAATTCATTCATTAAAGCCATTCCAAATACTTACATGTGCCAGAAACACATCCAGTTCTTCTACTCGCCAGTTATTCTCGACTATTCGACACGTGAATTTTTGCAAACAGTTGTAAACAATGCGATACGAATCCTTAAAAGATCGATAATCACTTTGCTTCTCACATATTCTGTAGAAGTTATTGTCGCTTCTTTACGTCTCATCGCCCCTTTTCCGTCATAAAACCTCCCAATAAGAATAAGAAGAAGTTGGTAAACTTCAAAATTCTCAGAATATCAGAAAAACCCGTTAACGTCGTCCCTAACCACTCTAACTCGTTGATGCCTTTGACTCGTTTTCCATTTTATCTCACAACGGTGATCTTGTGGTCGATTTTTCCAGCTTCATTAAGCGGATTTTGCAAGCATTCATGTTAATTTGTCCGTATTGGTGTTCGGAAATTAACATGATTTCAATGAGTCTTTAAATCGACATATCTGCTCTTAGAATAAGTCTTACTAATCAAAATAAAAACGATTTTAGTCTACACACTTGGCCAACCATACACATGTTCATTTATTCTGGTTGTATTTCCTACAGCGAAGAAGCATTTGAGGGCAGTTTCACCTTCGGCTTGGTTTCTGAAGGATTTTTTCCTCAAAATAGGTTGTAAAGATGCTTGAAGAGGTGGTAGTCGGCACGCGAGGCTAGTGAGGCAGAGTTTCGCAACTCATATTCTTCAACCTTTGCAGTATCGGTGGTGCGGCGTATGGACGATTTATACGATATCCATCTATTGATACCACTTATTAGTTTTCTTTAGACGCTCATGAACACCTTATATACTTAAACTGAGTTCCTCTGCAACCTTTCGAACAGTACTACAAAAACTTTTGGTACATCATCTTCAGTTTCAGGAGGCCCGCGCCTCACTTCATTCCCTAATTGGCCACACTTCGTCTTTGAAACCGATGTCGCACTTTGCATTCGTTAACACTTTCTTGGCCCCGTAGTTCATAAATGTTCTGAGCTGTTTACGCTGCACTGCTACCAAATTTGAATTGTAAAAGTAAATTTGTTGCAATTACTGTCTTGATATCCTATTTCCTAAATTGTAAAATTATGTAATTTGACAACACTCGAAAAAAAACTATTGCCTAAACGTATAGAAGAGAAATAGAACTGAGAATCAGGCACTGATTTTGGAGCAACGTAGACACTATTGTCACTAGCATCCCGCCACTTCTCCTAGTGGCACATATAAATTTTACTGACAAGATCTTCTTTATGGCATAGTATTAAGACATCGTACAGCAAGTGAAAAAGATATGTCCTAGTAGGGTGTCGCTTAGTAGAAGTATACTCTGATTCAGATATACATTTTAGGATACATTTCAGGTAGTGTGGAGTACACTGGAAGTTTGTATCGTCTATTTCGTTGCTATGAGCTTTTCCTCCTACCATAAACTCAAAGTTGTCGTTTTCCATACACGTTTCGATGTCTTGAGCCAGTGAGCATGCCGCTGCAAACGGATCGTCGGTTGCCAACCAAAGAAACGCCTCGGAACTTATAGCACGAAACACATCAACCTAAACTTCACAATCTCTCCTATAATTCTAATCAGTTGTTTCATACTTTGCGGCTGAATGAACAAGTCTTTTTTTGCATGGCCGTGTTCAGATAAGATACCACACCTTTCTGAGAGCATCCATATTAGAATTCGACATTCGTAGACAGAGATTACATTTGCCTAAAATTTATTTTAACGGCAAGTGTTATAGAAGTACTAGATAACCAAATATTGCTCATGGTCAAATTTTCCAAGAGCACATGGGATTAATGGTAAGTTAACTTGTTACTACGATGGCGAGAAATTTCATTGTACGTAAGCCAAGACTAATGGATTCCACCAAAAGTTTCCGCCGATAGATAACACAAATTGATAAGTTAATCACAGACACGCTTAAATCACCCTACAATAAAATGATAAGACTTTCTGTGTTAATCATTCCTTTAGGGATGGGCCGTGCATTCGACTTCATTAAGTACTGTTGGAGGTAATTGAATGCATATCTAGCCTTTACAACGACTTGCGGTGACCCAAGGATGTATCGAGCCAGTGCTGCTATCCTCCCAGACAAGGCTGGTGCCAATTTGCCGATCATGGAAGGTTTGAATTCTTGGTGAGCCAGACGAGGGCGCGAGAATCAATTGTATGTGTATCGTACGGCGTCTCCAACCACTGCGCCACACGCGCCGCTATCATCGCGTAATACTTACCTACTTGATACTTGAACGGCTCGTTCTCACTAGTTGTGCGGGCCCCAGCACAAACACCATCTTTCAGGGCTTTGCTAACTAAGCCACTGTGGTTCCCTGGAATCCCGAGAACAGCCTGGCCAAAGTCTGCCCCAGGTCATCACCACGGGCAGTTGCAGCCCTTGTGGATCAGAGTGAGATTTGTCACCACACGAATTTGAACGCCGGACTCGTTCTCAGCTTGGGAGACCCTGCCGGGAGGACGAATCCTCCCGTTGTACTTCGCAGTCCGACACCCAGGAACACCTCCCAGCCACGATGAGGCGGTATACCGTAGCGTAATAGGGAACTGAATTTATAATTTATCATATAGTGGCTAAGCGTATAGTTATTGCCTCCAAGGTCATATAAGGCATGAATATTATTCGCCTGTTTTTCAATTGCTCGATAGACCAGTCGACAAGCTTGAAATTTGGTACATTGATAAACTCGTGCTAAAAAGTTTTTATTAAATAAATGAACCGATAGCTTATATAACTTAGTTACATGAACCGCCTCATCGTGGCTGGGAGGTGCTCCTGGGTGTTCTATTTATTTAATGAAAAATTATATAATGATGCAATCAACCCACATCCGGAGTGGTGTGGAATATCTATGGTGTGTCCTCTGAGTAGTAGGCATTGAACGATGGCGAAATTATTGAGAATGCATGCAAGCATCAGAGGAGTTATGTGCGGTAAGAACGCAGGCGAGTTCGAGCAACCTAATATATATTATTAGAATGCTAAGTGTATAGGTGATCATCGTTGTCAATAAGAATTCGTTTTTACACTAGACAGATCACATTTATGGCTTGTAACCACATCGCCTTTAACAGTGACTAACAGTGACCTTCACCACTTTGCCACAAAGCAATAGTGTGTGCTCACATCACCAGAAAACCTTGTTAACAGCGCTTATTAGTTGACAAGGTACTCTTATAACGACCCGAATGTGTGCAAATAAGCCTATAATTGCTTCCTGCATAACCAGAAAGTGCTTGTTTAGAGTTCCACTAGCCGAAATCGCGAATGAATCGAGAAGTGGGAGGGTATCACAGCTTTTCCACACGACAAAGCCCGATCGCACACTTTCAAGGTAATAGCACAATCGGAGGCGGTGAGGTGGAACATACAAATGTGCACAAATGCAACAACCATCTGTCGCTGACCGGTCAATACATGATGACAGCAGCATTGGGAATGCTCTACGATTTTATACTAGTAAACACGAACACTGGAGACGAAAAAAGAAGCAATTCCCGGGTTATCTATACAGAAGTGAGCCCAAAATATCTAAACATGAACCAAGTGCTAACCAGAAAAATTCTAAAATAAAAACGACAAACCACTTCGTTCTTCATGAGGGAATTCTTGAAAGATTGTGAGAATGAGTTCTACGAGAGGTCTACTTCCTATACAAATAGCTATTAAGAGTGCTTCTTTTGCCATTTCTGGGGAGCTGGACTGTTGTAGCAGTTGTGATAGATACTCCATTTGAATGTCCTAAATGAGAATCATGGTCATTATTTAAAATGGTACGAAAGCCATAAACCTGTATACTCTGTAGAAGCCTCTGTAAATGAACGTGAAAAATTTTGTAGGTTACATCCTATCACACACAATCAATAAATCATTACGCATAAAGGACGTCAAATGATTCAGTGCTTTAATAGATAGGGAAGTGATTGGACATTATCTCATGCAGATATGCTCCACTTCTGGAGGAGAGCCCGAATAGCTGCGTAAATATATCAGTTATGACGAGACAGTCTAGTCAGGTACTTTTGTGTAACTCTAGTCAATGATAATGAAAATAATACGCACGAAGGTGTGGTCTCGCACATCGTGACTCTCACGCTCCTGGTGCCCGCTGAGCACTTACAATGCGTGATATGGATGAAGACTATGTTTGCCCTCACTTAAGTCACTCATTACGTAGTGGGAATACAGACGATAGAGGTGATGCATGTTAATGTTCACATGATAGCATCAAAGACAAAAACGTACAGTTGCAGCGACCCCAAGTGTTTCAAAAATTTCTATGATTTCAGCATCGTTTCGATCCTTTCGCAGAGCCTTCACTTTTTCATAGAATTCGTACTTCATGCAAAGTGCCTGAAATGATTATATGATTTCTACCTAACGCGAAACGTAATTAAGCATTTTCTTGAGCCAATTTGATTACACATGTCTCGCTGTACAGCTAGTTCCTGAAACGAATCTTAACACTTAATGACTGATTTGAGTGAAAATGCGCTCACGGCGAGGGTCGCTCAAAAAGCAGGTTTCACCTAAATACGCCAGCCACACGGATTTAGATTCCTGGATAGATAGGTTCCTGGGTGTTAAACAGAAGAAAAAATAGGCCCACTAGCAAAATTGAGAAGCCTGAAAACTTAATTGGGGATATGAGTTAAACTATTGTAAAATTCGCTTCCGAGACACCTAAAGAAGATGGAAAGCAATACAAGGTATCTTTAGTCACGTGTGACTACAAATAATAGCACACGGTTCAAAATTTTTGCAGCTACCCGGTGTGGAGTTCTTTTAACAAGACCTGTTCATAATGTTACATGGCATGTTCACCTCCGTGTCATCTTCCCATTCAATACAACCGTCATAACCTTCCGCTTTCACCTCCTGCAAAAACTTCTTCCTTTATCGGAATATTATCTAGCTAAAGCAGATCTAAGATATTTTTGTGGTTAAGTAGTTTTCAGAGTAAAAAGTGTTAAGGAGAATTCGCTTTCTCATTAAACTTTGCTGTATAGCCTTTATGGTGACTTGTCTCATACAGAGATATGAAGTACAAGATGACTCACATAGTAATTATCTGGAACCTTTAGTTTTTTTAAGGCGTTCTTCCCAAGTGCATGGGAGGCTACGCTGAAATTTTAGAAAATTTAGCGAAGAAACAAAACGTATGCAATTGGTTCAAATCACTCACTTGCGCATGACCATCTTCACCATCTTCGTCACTGCACTTCATTCAAATGTGACTCACTTTGCAAAACGTAAAATGATGTTGTGACCCTTATTTTCAGCAGAGGATGCCAACTATCGCTTATCACTTACAGCTTATATATGGGTTGACCGGGCATAGTATAAAACGTTTGCCTGTGATCACTTCCTATCACACAGTTTATTGAATTTCATGAAACATTGTATAAATGGTTTAATGTACATTTAGTCTATAGAGGATTTTCGCTAGACTACCGTTGTATCACCAAGTCAGTAAAGCTATCCTCCCGTACAAGTCTAGTGCCAATTTGATGATCACGGAGGGATGAAGGGCTTGGCAAACCAGGTCGCGGTGTCGAACTAGCAACCGATCCTATTTGTATTGAGGGAAATCTCTAACCACTGCATTCAAACGTGCACTGGTGTGTAATGTATCACAAGTAATTTTGCGCTGCTCTATCACTTATAATAAATGTGCCACGGCTTCTTCTTAGTGCTCAGATCTTTTTGTTAGATTATGAGATTTTATTTCCTCAAAAACCCTTATTTTTGAAATGGTTTACCAGAAAAAAAGAATTATCTAAAACTCCTTAGTACTCTTATTAGCACGAACGTGACCGTTCATTCGCGGTCTAACTTAATTCCCTGCGGAAGCCCATGAGGACGGGAAAACCTCTTTCATTAACCGTTTGCTGTAAATGGTGATGTGAACAAAAGAGTTATTGCAGAAAACGTTGGAGCAATAAAGAGAACAGGTGGAAACCGTGTGAGTTATATATGACCCATACGTTCATTACTACGTTGAGGAAAAGATGGATGCACACTTCGTTTAGAAACTTTAAAAATATTTTGAACTTTCTCTATCCCTAAATCAGGATTGCTACTTAGTTATTTTGGCACATGTTCACTCAAGAACATAACATGAATTTTATGAAACAATCTCTCTTAATATCATTAATGAGCTTCTACTTATCATGAAACATTGAAATGAAATAGTGGCAGATGTAAAAATCACAAGCCCTAATTCTGCCTTAAATGTGGAATGTACCGTACACCTTACTCAGAGCAACTAGAAACAAGCAAAAATGAAGACGCTCATTTGATTCAGCTCAAACAAAAACAGTAGTTATGGGATTTTCAACTAGTGGTGAATAGTAGCTTCTCTCCACCAATTAATTGGAATGCTTGCAAAGAATAAAATGGCTCTGAAAAACAAGAAACCGTTGAAACGTCATCTATTGCATGTTAATGAATTCTACGATACTAACCTCGTGTTTGCTTGTCGAACAAGAGCACTGAACTAACAAAACATAATCTTAACCATAAAGAATGGCCTTGATTGGAAGTTCATTTTTGCAGCCTTCCGCAGAGTGATTGTCCTGACTTGAACGAGGGTTCTGGATTGAACATTTAGTTGAAAACTGGAAATCGCCGGCCTTGAAGAATTCCAACCTCGTTGACATAATTCACCGTTAGAGTTAAATAGAACAAAATTAAGCAGGAAAGGAAATTTTGAGTTAATTCGAAGAACGAAAGGGGGTGTGAAAAATTGAACTATGAAATTTCTTGCTACACTGTATATAACGACTATTTTATTTAGGAATAACAGCGAATAAAAAATTAACCTAATGGGAAAACGTGATAACAACCATAATAGTTTAAAGCATACTGATCGATTGTCTGGAAAAACTGTCTATTTTCTTGTGATATCTGTCCTAAAGTAGACCGATCTATGTTAAGTCACATCAGGAAGCAAATTCTTAGCTTTCAACTAACCTTCGCATAGATACTACTCCAGTCTTTTTTGTTGCACAGAATCAACTTCCACCTTTACATAGTCAAATTTTCCTAGTCAAATTGACACTAGTCAAATTCCTGAGCACATTCCACCTCAATGATTTACCATCGTGACAAAGTGTCTCCAAGGAATTCATCCACTGATGAGTTCACTCGAACTGAGAGTGTTCGATTTTTATGTCCGAAATCTCAAGATTACTTGAACGCATGCCACGAATCTGCGTTTTGGAACATGACTGGGTTGAATGGGGTCCCTATTGGCATTCACTCACACAATTCAAGAATTGTCAAGGTAATAGTTGATTAGTAAAAGAATTGCTTAAGTTATTTATCACCTTCGACCATTTCAAATGCGATCGCTCCGTCGTTTAACAAAAGCGAATAGCAGCGAAGTTCGTACATATTGGTACTGGTGATCACTTGGCTTCTGTGTTGTGAAACACATGAGCAGGATCTCACCTTCTCTACAACGCTACTTCTTTCCACTCCGTTCTGTGTAAAACCGCTTTCGTCTGGCTTGCCTAACTCCCACATAATAGATATTATTGGTCTGAGGCAGTTCTTCATATACTTTTCTGATTTCAAGCTTTTAATACCAGAGATTTTGAGGAAGCTTCAAGTGAAAGTCAGGATACGGTCCTCCAACATTTATATATGCAATAATAACCTTTAATGCGCAGCAGATACAGGCAACCTATTGCCTGGATCCGTCTTTTTCTTATAGGAAGCATACACGGCAACACTCAGTTCGCGATTAACCTGCTTTCTGCTAGCAGGGCAAAAGCCACGTTACTCCGCCACTAAGCGAAAAGAGGTCTCTCATGAAGGGAAGAATTGTGATGTCGAAATTAAAGTCGCATTGGAAGCACTTCTACAAATTGCTGTTCAATAGTTCTGGGAAAAATCGACACATTTTCCAAGAAAATCTTACTATTCACCACTAGTTGAAAATCCCATAACTACTGTTTTGTTTGAGATGAATCAAATGGACGTCTTCATTTTTGCTTGTTTCTAGTTGCTCTGAGTAAGGTGTACGGTAAATTCCACAAACATCTGCCACTATTTCATTCCAATGTTTTAAAATAAGTAGAAGTTCATGAATGATTTTAAGGAAAATTGTTTCTTAAAATTCATGCCAAGTTCTTTGAGTGAACATGTCCCGAAATAACTATGTAGTGATCCTGATTTAGGGATAGAGAAAGTACAAAATATCTTTGCTTGAAAATTTTACAATTACAAAAAGTACAAAATATTTTTAAGGTTTCTAAACTAAGTGTGCACCGGTCTTTACCTCAACGTAGAAATGAACGTATGAGTCATATATAACTCACCGAGTTTCCACCTGTTCTCTTTACTGCTTCAACGTTTCCTGCAATAACTCTTCCCTTGTGGGATCGAAAAAGCGGTCATGCGTGCATTATTGCGTGGCATCTCATAACCACTGCGTCTACCGCTCCCCTATACTTAGAAACCTCCCGTTATATCCAGTAATGTACAGTTGTAACCATGTGGTTACTTACGTCCAGTATTCTGTTGAATTATGAGGAAATAAAATACATCTACCGCATTCCTTTTTACCCTTTTATAATACGATAAAAAGCTTAGCGGAGTAGCAAATATACAGCGGTAGAGATTGGTTTCTTCTGCGTAATATTTTGTTTACTCAACCGCCTCGTTTTTCGTCCAACGCAAACCTCGTTAACAAAAACCGCATGGAAACTATTCGTCGGTTCTGG